TTTAAAACCTTTTTACATATATAGCTTACTGATCTAAAGCTCTGCTATTAGACTTTCAATTGCAATACTATTTCATAAAATCACAAAAATGCCTTTGAAGAAATTTGACAAAAAGCTAATTGGTCAAGTACAAGCATTTTTAGAACTTCGCTGGAGCCACAGGATTATACGAACCCATTTTAAAAAGAAAGGCATTGCGATTTCACTCAGACATATCAGTCGCATCAAGAATTCAAAACTCGGATCGATGCAAAATAATGCAAAACCAAAAAGAAATGAACGGCCAAGCAAATTGTAGAAATCAGATTTTCAGAAGCTTGATAAGATGACATCAAAACCGGATCCACCAACACAGGCAAGCATGGCTAAAGCTCTTAACGTGAGTCAGCAAGTTGTAAGCTATCAACTAAAACAAAAGTTGAAGAAAAAATGCCATAAAAACCTAAATGTCATCATTTAAGTGAGAGATCGGTGCAGATTAGGAGACAACGTTCATGGCCCCTCTACAAGCTTCTCCGTAAGGACAGATGGCGAAAGTTCATTACAACTGATGAAGCTTGGATCTATCTATCTGATACTAATGCTAAATCCAAAGTTCAATATCTTAGTCGCGGGCAGAACAGGCGAGACTTGACACCATCAACCACGGAGCCTCATCCCAAAGGCGTAATGGATTGGATGGGCATATCCGCCCATGGTGTGACCAAACCTCGGTTTGTGAAACCGGGGGCCAAAATAAATTCTGAGTTTTATATACAGAAGATATTAAAGCCCTTTCTTAAGGATGATTACTGCAGATTGTACCCTAATGGTGATGCTGTGTTCCATCAGGACTCTGCCCCATCGCATGCATCTAAGGTCACCCAGAAATTCCTAACAGATCAGCAAGTGCAATTCCTGAGAAGAGAACAATGAATTTCAAACAGTCCTGATGCTGCACCATGCGACTACTTCCTATGGGGACATCTGAAAAACAAATTGAATAAGCGAAGAATTTCTACATTGAAAGGCCTTCAAAGAGCTATTAGAGAAGAGGTGAAGAAAATCCCTCAGGAAATCATTTTGCGGGTTATAAAATCCTGGCCGAAGCGTTGTAAACAAATCTATTATGCCGGAGGTCGACATATTGAGAAGCATCGCTGAATTTATGTAATAAATTTTGGAATTATAAACATTCAAAAATGATCCCTATATTTTTTTGTTACCCTGTAGTAAGGGGAGGGCATATCCCATACTAGGGAACATCTGCCAGTTGTACTTCCGCTTCTTCAGGCAATCATGTGTAACTCCACTATATGTCAAATAAAGCCTTTTTTTGTTCCATACCCTACTTTAAGCTTTATATTCATGTCTGTGCCATTATTCTTTTACCGTCGTTTAAGTACAAAATAATGTACATCATATTCAAATTTCATGTCAATCGGATGATTTCTTGTAGAGTTATGACAAAAAAACGCACTTGTTGCTTAAGTTTTGCACACCAGTGTATATTCATATGCATGGTTAATCAAACTCAACCAATCACTTCGATTTTCAATAATACGTTGCTTTAAAAGGTATTTTTTATTCAAAAACACATGACAAATTTGTAGAGTATTATTTTATTGATTTTGTCACCTAATATCATTCAAAAGAATAATCAAACAAATAATGTGTGTGGAAACTGGAGAAAAAATACGCCCTAAACAAATAAAAATCGAAATATAATGAATATAATATCGGGTTCAATTTTGAGCATTAAACCTATCAAGTAGCAATTCATAATTTTATATTCTTATCTAATTCATTAGTCCTTAAGATTTAATTTTCGACATGAAAGTTGTGTGAAGTAATGTATGCATATATTTTATCTAAGTGCAAAATGCTCTTGGTCAATATCAAAATAAATAAAACTATCCTTACCAACTTATATTTTTTGTTCAAAATTATATTTGGATTCTATTTTTTGTCATATGACATTCATTTAATTATTTTAAGTAAACTTAGAAATCTTTATATGAAGGTCTGTTTCAGCAGTAAAATTTTGGTTCTTGAAAGCAATTACGTAATAAGAAAAATATTATTCATATCACAGTCAAAATGGACTATTAGTTCTAGATAATTTCCAGAAAGTTGGAAGTTATTTGATTTCACTTTGGACATCATAAGGTGAGTTAGCTAAGAGCTAACTAGCCTTATGAGGACTCACCTAACACTTATAATGACTAATAATTCATCTAAGAGCTAAGAAATTACGAAATTTCAGGCACTTTTTCAGCTTGGACCTTATAACATCTGAATGGTGCATCGTATTTGGAATTTTGTACGCTCCAAAAATAAGAAGATCCAAATATTGCATCGAATGCCACCCTTAAATATTAAATTTAATTAAAAAATTTAGTGAGACTCAGTAGCAAATAAAGAAGAAATTTATTCCGTTTCGGCTGTAAAAAGTGTTACGCTCGCTTTCAAAATTCTATATTCCGAAATCGTGACTTCAAATGAAAAAAAAAATTAAGATAAGAACATTCTAGAGAATCCCATTCTGCTTTTTGGGAGAAATATTTATTTAAAGTCTGCTCAGTCCTAATAGGGGCGAATTATGCATGGTCTTTATCATTATGCTTATGCTCAAGATCATAATCATAAAGATTAATTAGCTAGTGGGGGAGGAATAAGGAGAAATTTAACATTCCTTTATTTACTCAAATATTTCACAAAAAAAAAAAATGATAATTTAAATTTAAATATATTTTTTTTGTTATTGTAGTTCATTTACGTCGCACTAGAGCTGCACAATGGGCTATTGGTGACGGTCATGGAAACATCCCTGAAGATGAGCCGAAGACATGCCATCACAATTTTGATCCTCTTCAGGGGGGATGACACCTCCGCTTCGGTGGCCCGACGACCAGCACGCGAAGTCGAGCACTTTACGGTAGAACAGTTTAGCGAGGACCAATACCGCACACCCTCGATCCCTACGCAGACTGAGCCAAATGGTCACCCACCCGCGCACTGACCGCAGCCAGTGATGCTTGACTTCGGTGATCTGCTGGGAACAGTGTCTTAACGATCAGTCCACTGCGGGACTTAAAAATATTTAAATATATTATAGTTTAAATAAATAATAATATTTTTTCATAATAAAAAATATGGAGAAGCGAAAACTTACAGTCGATTAAAAAAGTTTTTCCGAGTTCTGTGATTGCGTGTTTTTGAAAAAAACATAACGATAAATTTGAAGTGTATGAAACGCAAATTTTAAAGTTTCTCAATAACAAATTCGAATAGGTATTACACCACAATTTTCAAAGTTTCTCAATACCAAATTCGAATAGGTATTACACCACAATTTTTAAAGTTTCTCAATACCGAATTCGAATAGGTATTACACCACAATTTTTAAAGTTTCTCAATACCAAATTCGAATAGGTATTACACCACAATTTTTAAAGTTTCTCAATACCGAATTTGAATAGGTATTACACCACAATTTTCAAAGTTTCTCAATACNGGCGACGGTCATGGAAACATCCCTGAAGATGATCCGAAGACATGCCATCACAATTTTGATCCTCTTCAGGGGGGGATGACACCCCCACTTCGGTGGCCCGACGACCTGCACGCGAAGTCGAGCACTTTACGGTAGAACAGTTTAACGAGGATCAATACCGCACACCCTCGGTCCCTACGCAGACTGAGCCAAGTGGTCACCCATCTGCGCACTGACTGAAGCCAGTGATGCCTGACTTCGGTGATCTGCTGGGAACAGTGTCTTAACGATCAGTCCACTGCGGGACTTAAATATATTTAAATATATTATAGTTTGAATAAATATTAATATTTCTTCATAATAAAAAATATGGAGAAGCGAAAACTACAAGTCCATTAAAAAAGTTTTTACGAGTTCTGTGATTGCGTGTTCTTGAAAAAAGCATAACGATAAATTTGAAGTGTATGAAACACAAATTTTAAAGTTTCTCAATACCAAATTCGAATAGGTATTACACCACAATTTTTAAAGTTTCTCAATATCAAATTCGAATAGGTATTACACCACAATTTTTAAAGTTTCTCAATACCAAATTTGAATAGGTATTACACCACAATTTTTACAGTGTGCGTATTATATTATTAAAGATGCACAATTTGTTTTTTTCCTACAGTTTTTCACTGCATTGAACGCATGTATTCCTACATCTACAGAAATACAGACTGAAAACACCCGAAGATATATCTGTGGAACACCTGAAAAATGGACAAAAGTATGTGAACTTTATATATATATATATTAAGTTTATATATTACATTTGCTTTTTTGATCAATTTCAGAAAAAGATTTTTGAAAGGAAATATTTAATATATGTGCATAAAAAAAGAATTTCATTTTCAAATTCAAAGCTTTTTTGAATAAAAATTACAATTTCGAACAAATATAAATGGTTTGAGCAAATAATAATTTGAAAAAAAAAATACTAAAAGAATGCTTTAGCCTTAGTGAAATTTATAATTACTTTTATTTTCTACACTAACTTTTTCACAGCAATTCAAAATTTTCTAATTTATTACCACATTCTTTTGAATAGTTTGAATTTAATTCAATTTAGCCTGTTTTAATTAATCTAATCAGCCATTAGTCTTCTATTATTACCTAACTTTATTAGTATAAACAACTTACTAATTACGTTTAAACTTAAACCGATAGAATAGAAACGAAGAAGAATTACTTTCCCTAACAAATTTCAAAATGTCATTCAAATTCATTTTTCATTCCAAACAAGCTATTGTTATTGCGTCACTTGTAATTGTCCCATTCCCACTGTTTTGATAATTTAATAGAAGTTCTTAAACATTACAAATGTTTAAGAAATTAGTGGAAAGTTAGAGAACTTTATCTACTTTAAAATAGAGAAATTATTTAAAATACAAAATCATTTTTCTTCTCAATGACAGCTTTGACATTGTTTTATTTACGTGAGTAAAACGACAAAATTTATTTCTGTCCCAAACAGATAGATAAAGGAATGTTTTTCAAAAATTAATGTAATGCAATAGTTGTTTAAATTGTCAACTGGCCTCAAAATCATTTCCTCAAAAAAATATGTAACTTTCTGAGCAGGAATATTCTTTAGCTAGGTTACTTTTTTAAATTAAACGAAAAATTGAGGACCTCAAAAATTTGTTTAGATCTCAATTGAAGACCTCAAAACTAAAAAAATGTTTTATAATGAAAAAGATCATTTTTTTTTTGGATTTTAATTTGCAAAAATAAATTTTTCTCGTAATTTTGAGTACCAAAAAGATATTCTTAAATTTTGTGTTTCTTCGACAAATTTAGTGTAATCTACTTGCTGAAATAGAGGAACTTATAATAATGTTATTATTATCAAATAACTTAACAGTTAACTAATATAGTTTTATTATTTTAAACTTTTAGAGTAAATGTTAAAAACTAATGCCCTTATCATTTATTTTAATTCATTGTTTTTAAAACGAATTTTGTAACTTTTATTACTCTAAGATATTTATTAGTTCAAAAGATATTTAACTTTCTTTTAAAGATATTTTACTTAAAGCTCTTAACTTTTTTAATTATGAATATTTAAAAACAACGAAATTTAACTATTTTGTTTTTTAAATCTAAAACAAATTTAAATCTAATCGAAATTGTGGAATTATAAATAATAGTCTTAACATTTCTCTTACGTTGCATTTAAACGTTTACGTTTGTTTATATAGTCTTCTTCTCTTACAGATGATGGAATGTGTTAATATGCAACTCATTGAAATTGTTGTAAGTGATAATATTAATTATATTTTAAACATAGTTATCTATCCTTAAAAAGTATTAAAAAATACGAACTGAAGAAAAAAACACATTAATCTAAATTCAGGTTCTTCATTGCCTCGAAAGATTATGCAATTTTATTCCGTAAAGAGTAATAATATATTCTCTCCCGTAAGGAGTAATTTTAAAATATATATATTTCCGTAAATAATATATATTTTAAAATTCTTATCAAAAAAGAGGAAACGAAATAATATTTAATCAAGGAAAAAACAGAAGCGCAATCAAAATCTATCGAATCACAGCTAGAAAAAGCAGATGTACGTGAAATCCCATTTTGTTTCTGAAGGAGACTCGAAGGGTAAAGGGGGTTTCCTACCAAAAAAAAATTATGATTCATATACCCGCTTTCCTCAACTGTGATTTGACAGGTTTTGATATTGTTTTTGTCATTTCCTCCCTTAAATATTAAGAAATTTGTGACTCCCAGTATAAGTATTTTTAAGCCTTAATTTTTAATACGGACTTTAAGATTATAAGTTGAGTGTAGTATTTAAAAACACTCTGTATAACTTTATTTCTGCGACTTTCAAGATTAGTTTAATAGCTAGAACTAGATAAAATTCATAAACTTTACAATAATATTAATGTTTAAATTCGTTCTTACGTTTAAAAATCTTACGTTTAACTCTGAGAGTTTGAAACTTCGTGTAAACTTTTAGCTGAAAATTCTTATAAGAGCTTAAAGAGACTTTGAAAGTAAAATATGAAATATTTTACTTTCAAATATTTCATTTATTTCATAGCTCATTTATTTCATTTTGGTATCATTATTTTTTTTTTAATATTTTGAAGCAAAATCTTTTAATGAGAAAAAATATTCTGAAGAAATTAATCATTATAAACAATAAGTTCCACAAAATATAGTTAAACTTATTAGAAATTTTGATGATGAGATTTCTTTCTAAGCATTTACTATAGATTCTATATACGGTGAAAAAAAATCAGTAAAATTACCATACGTAATGACGTTTCGGGTCGTAAATTTATTCTGGTTAATATAGCCAAAATATATGGTATTTAAACCATTCATTTGGTAATTTTTCCGTTCAGATAGTAACGTTTTATCGATTTCTTTTAAATGCTTGTTATTATACATTTACTAAAAAAAGATATAAAACTGAAGCTGAACTTTTGATTTCAGCTTCAATTTGAGCTTTTTTTCAGAGCTTTTTGATGTTCCCATAGAGCCTTAAACACGGTAAATTTTTACCATATTCTGGTGATTTTAATAATGCTTTTCACCTCAATGAAGCAGAAATGTTTTCATTCTATTATTTGTTTTCGTATTACTTTTTTTCCCTGCTTTATGCAGACAAATACATATATTTTTAAGATTTGTTAAAATAGATTCTAAAAAATAACATTTCGGAAGATTTAATACAAGAAATATGCAATTACGAAAATTCGAGTTTTTAATTAAGAAATAATTTAGTGTGTTAAAATCAGCTTTGTTTAAAAGGTATTAACTTATAGTACGCGTTAATATTGAAGAAGTAAATTTTTAAGTGAATTGGATCTCAATTTTACTTTTTATCGTGGTAAAAAAATTTAAAAAATATTTTGGGAATATACACTCTTTTTTACTTTTGACGATTTAGAAATCCTTGAGCAGTATTTTGTTAATTTTGAAAATCATTTCACAACGAAATCACGTGAGTAGAGGAAAAATGAGCTGTACACTCCACTTTTAGGGTTGATAACCTTTCTTAGTGATATGGGATGAGGGCTTCATCCCACTTCTGATCTATGACTCTCGTCTATAGGATAAGCGCTACACCCATCTTTCTCAGTATGGATGGGAGTTCAACCCCAGTAATAAGCTCTTAGTAGGGATGGTGTATCATGGCTCTTTAAATATCATGGTTAGGATTAAACAAATACTTCTTAAAAATTTTGGGTATTTATTTCTTCACAACTATGGGTATATTTAAAAAAATTGATGCCAACATTTTAATCTGAAACGAGTTTCAAATGAATTTCTCATAGCAAATAATTATAAAAAAATTCGCGAAGTGTCCTCTTTTATTTTCATACGTGTGCTCTTAACGTAGCATTGTTTGGACTAAAAACTCCTTAAAAATTTCGAGTTAATATTTTTTGACATATATGGGTATTTTTGAATCAATTGACGCTCATTTTTTAATCTTAATAAAGTTTCAAATGAGTTCCCCATTGCAAAAAAGTATAAAAATTCGCAAGTTGTCATCTTATGCGTCAATTATATTTAGGCTCTTAACATATTATTGTTTGGAGTAAACAAATCTTTCTTAAAACTTTTGATTACTTATTTCTTGACACATGTGGGGGTTTTCGGAAAAGTTGTCTCTTCGTAATCTGTAACAAGCTTCAAATGATTTCTTCATTGCAAAAAATTTAAAAAAAAATTGCAATATATCCTTCTTTTGTAAACGGTATTAATGCTCTTAGCATAACATGGTTTGGAATAAACACATGCTTCATAAAAAATTTGGGTATTTATTATTTCACATCAATGGATATTTTTTTAAAAATTTGGCGCTTACTTTGTGACCTGAAACAAGTTTCAATTAAAATCATCATTACAAAAAATTACAAAAAGAAAAAAAAAATTGCAAAATGTCCTTTTTTATACGTATGCTCATAACGTAGCATTGTTTGGACTATAAATTGCTTATATAAAAATTGTGAGTGCTTATTTCTTGACACATATGGGTATTTTGAAAAAACATTGGCGCTCATTTTATAGTCTGAAACAAGTTTAAAATTATTTCCTCATGGCAAAAAATAACACACTTTGGGAAAATTTTTGTCGAAATAGATATGTTCAAATTTGCCTGGATGGGTAAATTTTTTGGTTTTTCCTATTTTTAAGTTTGTAATTGATGCTAGCCAAAAAAGAAATGAGTTTAATAAACACATTTTCTTGTTTTCCAAATTTGTTAGACGTTTGTCACCTGTCTACAATAACAGTTGCAACAAGTTTCTCTACATGGAAAGCATTAAGTTAAATTAATTGTTGTTGTTCAAATTAAAAAAATATGTCCGTTTTTTTAATTAATTGAAACGGTGAATTTATTTAGATTTTTTAGAGCGTGTCTTCATCAGACTTTAGGGAGTGATTACTCTTGTAAACATTTAGTAATAAAGACAATAATAAAAATTATAAAAAATGTGAACTTAATGGAAATTAGTGAAGCTTCAATTTCCTTCCCAAAATTATCTCTTAGGTTTGAAGACAGTATTTAAATATGCCTTTGAGAATTCGAAAGATAATCAGTAAACACAAATAAGACTTAATAAGTAGTAGCATTAAACTTTCTTCACTAACAATACTGATAATTTTTACTAATAACGAGGTAGAAATAAATTACTATATTTATTTAGAAAATAAACTTTGGAATCGTCTTCTTAGAGTAATTAATAATTTGTTTTGATTATTATTATTATTTTTTTATAAATTCTTATATATAAGTAATGTTAGTCTGGCATTAAGTTCAACTGCAATTAGTCTAAATTTAATTTTTTCTTAAACCCACGTTATTTCAGCATCCACGCATTTAAATTTGTGTTTATAGTTACCATACAGTGAAAACACATAATTGAATAAAAATAAACATTAACTAGTACTTTAATTTAATTAAAAACAAAGATGGGTTACAATAATCAAATTATGCGATACGGACCATTTAATTTTATCTCCCACAATAGAATTTTATTTACTTTAAACTTTTGAGAAAATTTGAAATGTCTTTTATAATAAGAATGATTCGTTTAATTGAGTTTATTAGAAAAGTTTGTTTTATTTGAAATAATTAAAAGTATAACTATCTTAGACATTTAATCTATGTTTAATGCATTCCTTTATCTCTGCGTAAATTAATTATACGTCTCTATTATTTTCCTAATTAGGATGAAAAAGACCCTTACATGGAACTAAATCCCGGGTTGCCATACACAGTGAGTCATTATATTATTACTAATGATTATTACTTATAACTGTACAGCCACTATATTACTAATTTTGAAATGTGTTTGATTTCATCATACTTATTTATGAATTTATATAAATAAAATAAAANAAGAAGTGGGGGTACAAATTGGCTTAAAATTAAAAACAGCATACAAACCTGACTTTATCAAACTTTCCAAGGAGATGCAAGCACATTGTTCGCATTAATAAATATTTATTAAGTATGAAATTTAGTTTTATTTAGTGTACTACTTATTTAATGTATTAAAAGTTTACTAAACAAGCAGATTTGGCTCCTAACTTTTTTAAAAATTGTTGTAATGTTCATATTTGGCTCTTTGGCTAATAAGTTTGCCGACCACTGGCATAGACCATTTATTCTTTAATGAATTCCCTTCGTTTTTTTTACCTGTTTCCCGTCTTTTCGTTAAATTTATATCCTTTATCACAAAATAATAACAGTTTCGAACAAAAACATCTGTATGTATTGGAAAAAGCGTTTTTTAAGAAAACTTTGATTCAGGTACATAATCAAAATATATTTAGTCTACGAGATTTACCTTCAATATTTGTTCAACTCACCCTGCCGTCAAGAAACTATTATGGAGGTCTATTAGCAAAATTAGTGAATGTCAGTAACTAGTGGTCAAAAGTTGAGGTTATATATTGCTTTAAATAAAAATTAAAAATAAAATATTTTATTTTTAATCTTTATTTAAAGGAAATAAAACTTTCGAGCATAATTATTTTTATGAATTTAAAGGTTCATACTTAATGTATCTGAAATTATGAAATAACTGAAATAATGAGTTAAAGTTTAATTCACATTAGTTATGCTTTAACCTCTTCCTACTCGCTCCCGTGAAAATGACGGGGTGACGTTTCACCCTCTATTTCTCTCTCCAGTGAAATTTCCTGCCTGGAGTGTTCAGTAGTAACGCGCCAATAAGAATAAAACTAATTCATCTCTTTTGCCAGGAAAACACTTTATTTCTCATTTTACACACCAGATGGCAGTACCAGGATATGTTTGAGGTGATTGTAGATAGCTAGTTCATTTTAGATTAGATGTCAGCACTAATCAAATACGTGTATTTGGCAAAATAGGCACTTTTATGACCGTTTTCTTGAAAATTAACCGATCGTTAAGGTGTTAAAACTTAGCAAAGTTATTGGAATTTGAATAAATAAATTTTTTTTTATTATTATGATTTTGATTCAGGAGAAATCACTTGAAATGTAGTAATAATAAATACTCGAACAATAAATAACATCTAATTTTGTTTGGCTTTACGAATAAAAACGTTGTACTTTTTTTTAAAGCTGCTATCTATTCTTTTGATTATTTTGTTATAGACATGTGTCACTGTGCTCATCAACGAAGCTGAATATTCACTTAGAACTGGAGTACCCTTTCTTCAGGATAACGAAACAAAGACTGCATGAGAAATGCACTTAATTCAAAAGCCAGCTAATAGTCATATTAGCATTGAGTCCTATTTAAAGAGATTGGAATGAGATTTCGAACAATGCTTTTCATTATGTATAAGGATTGAAATGTAGATTGCAGTATCCTCCATGGATTTGAGGTGAAAAATTCGAAGGTTCAAGAAGAAAAGCTTGGAGCACTTGATTTCATGAAAAAAGATGAACATTTACTATTATGTTATTGTTTTGATGTCTTTTTCTCTCGATGTAAATTTTTTATAAAACATTTTAATTTACTTATAAAATGAAATATAATATGAAAAAATGCTATTTCCCTGTTGTTTTCACTTCCTAAAACCAGAGTGATTCTGGTAAGGGTGACCTAACTAACCTTAATGGGAATGTGTGCAATTTTAAAAAATAATCTCCAACAGTAGTAGCATGCGGATTTTTCTAATCCCCCCCCTAAGATACAACATTGTTCTATGATTCACTATTGGACAATAGATTAAATTAATTAGATTATGACATGAATGTATCAGGAAAAGTTGAATTTAAAGTCTTTGGTATACCCTTTATATTTTGTTTCTACTGGCAGAATATGAATGGATTTAAAATTTTATCTCATTTGTTGATGTTTTGACCCACGTCCAAGACGAATACTGTTTATTCTTCGCTTAGGAGCCAGTTCTTTCAAAAAAAGAATGTGGCAAATAAGGTAAGGTTGGATACTTGACATTTTTGATTTTGAAATTTTCAGAATATGTAAAAATTGTTTTAGCACTTATTTTTTTAAATTTTTTTGTTGCCAAAATAATTTTCCCCCCAAAATTTTGGGAGTCAAAATTGAAGATCTTCTTTAACTTTAAGAAAAACTTGTGTGTTTAAATTCGGTAATACTTTTTTTGTGAAATAAAGGAACCATGGCACTGACCCTTATTTCACGTAACGATCTTACATATCCTATCGATTATGTTGATAAAGAACCAAATAAATCTGTCGCAACCTTCAGATGGCCCTCCCCTGGAATTATACCTTTTCAGAAGAATCTACATTAAAGATAATTTCATGTATTCTACTAGGCAAAAACTTGCGATTTCGATGGAAAATTTCCATTATTTTTCGCTATCCATATTTGAACTTTATTTCATTAGCTCTCCAAAACCCTTTAAATTTTTTATATAAGTTTTTTGAATTGACATTGTAGTTGTTAATTCATATGCTGACGAACGAAGCAGAAATCAGAATTGAATTCTCGAAAACGAAATTATTATTATATATTTTTATAATGCTTTGAGTATTTTAACCCTTTTTTATTGAACGAATTATATTTTATAAAACGAATAAAATTCAAGTCCAGAAATTAATTTCACAGTTATTAATTTTTTTTTGTTATCTGAACTTTCTTAGATTTAAGAATTTTCTTGAATTTTAAATGCCTTTTCTGAAGAACGTTGAATTTGAGGAATTTTTTCTTTACGCTAAAACGCACCAGAAAAAAAAGAATGTTATAGAATTTTTTAAAATTTTGTAAGTAAATTTCGTATAATATTAACAATGTTTTGGAATTAAAAGCTAAAGTCTAAGTGTCAATTTGTTATTTAGTGAGTATAAATATATTTGTACTGTAAGTACAAATGATTATTGTGATAATTATTGGCATTGTAAGTATAAGTATATTTGTTATTTAGTAGTATAAGTAAGAATATTTAGAATTTTCTTTAAAATTTCGATGTTAAACAATACATTTAGTTCCGTTTCATTGCATTGTCCTTTTAAATTTTTTTTAAGATTTTATTTCTTAACACTGGTAATCACATTATTGAACTAAAAAATTTTTTTGAAATTTATGCATTATAATGTGTTATAGAGCTGTTAGCATTATACGAGAAATTTGCAATTTTTTAACTAAAATTTGCCTTTACTTTGAAAAATATTTTGTACATTTTTAAACTTTACTTTAAATTTATAATTTTAGGACCCCAGCTTACCAAACATAAAATTAAAATTTTAATTCAGTCTTTTTTCTTAAAAAAAATTGTCACGAAACCAATCAGATACCTTAATAAAAATAATTCAACCCAATAAAGTTTTTTTACCGGGATTTCTCAAACAACAACTCATTTAAAAAACAATAAATCTTTATCAGCAAATGTTTTAAGCGAATTTTTAGAATATACACATCATAATCCGGTGTCGTCGGATTTATTAATTTAACTTCACAAAATGTAAGACGGAAGACACTTTTTTCAACGACAGTTTTATTTCCATATTTATTACACACAATGATGCTGAACAAGATTATTTTGATTCCTTTGATGATGAATGATTTTTTGAAGATGAAAATTTGAAAACCTACAAAAAATGATATGACAAAAAACAATACAGTCAACATTGTACATGAAAACTGCAAGTTTTAAGAGTTATCGTGATCATAGAAATATTGAATTTACACAAGTCATCCAAATACAATTCATATAGTAGATACAATTTTAACTTTATTTACATATTAATAGTGTATTTGAAATGTGTCACAGAGAATTGGAATCAACTTGCAATTACACAAAGTACAAAATGAACACAAATCTTTCAAACCCTTATGCAAATTTTCAAACTTTCTGTATAATATTGATTATAATTTTATTATAAAAAGCATGCGATTATATTTATTTAAATGCAAATTTTTATTTGTTATCCCACAATTTATTTAAGCATAAAATAAAAATTCTTTTCTGAGCGATAGTTTGATGAGTCATATTTTATATTTTTATGCTAATTATGGGTTTAATTTTGTATAAAGATACAATAACTATAGATTGGGATTAGTGTTGGGTTAATCGGAATAATTATTTAAATGACTGAAGTGATTTTATGATTCAAATCATCATTTTGTCACTGATATGACCTGATGATATCAGTTTATTTTAATCATTTAAGCTGAATTAATGTATTCAAATCAATTGGCTTGACTCAAATCAGTTTGTTTCATTGATTCTGTTTCGTCACTGATTCACAAAAGTGATTCATTGTTAATCTCGAATCAGTGTTTTAACGATTGAATCTAATCAAGTTTTTCCCTAATCAGTTACTTCAAATCGAATTAATTTAAACATTCAAATAAACTTATTCAATTCTTGATTAGAACTAAAGCTTCAAAATCAGTAAATTCCAGTAGTTATCTTAAACTCATTAAATAAAATCAACTTGTTCTCCTTATTGGAACTGAATCAGTTGATTCAAGCTCTTTCTTTGAAATCTGCAAATAAAATGGTTCCTTAAAAATCTTTAATTCATTTAGACACTGATTCTATTCAGAGATTTTTATTTGTTGATTTAATAATAATAGTTGAACCAAATGCGGTATTTGATTCGAATCAATGAAGCATTGAATCTAATGGATTTGAATATTTAAACGCGTTGATTCGATTTATGTTTCGAATTCAGTCGGCTATGAGAACTGGCATTCATTAACGTAATTAGTCGCTTTTACATTTCTTGTCCGGAATTACCAAGCTAAAATGATTCGTACGATTTGAATCTCAAATGAATCATTTCGCCCAAATCTATCATGAATAATCTTTTATTGAAAAGTGTAAAAGATATTATTGTGGTTATGGGGAAAAAATCTACATTTCGTTAGTTTTATTACTGTCATATAACACTAGAAATTGTATATCTGCGATAAAAGTATTGGTTTCTTAAACATGGAAGTATTTTATTATTAATATCAATATTCTATGATTCTATACAGAGTAAAATACAATAAAGCAGTTCATTTACTTCGTAAATGTGGACAGTACTGATTTAAATGCAGGAAAAGTTTCACATATTTCATTTACTAGAAAATGATGCCATTAACTTAATCCAAAAAAAGAAAGATCACCTCTTTAAAAAAGTTATTTATCCAGAATATTTATCAAAATATGATGAAAACAGGAAGTATTTCTTTACTATTTGAGTTTGCGAAACATTTGTTAAAATTTTTTATTTCCTAATTCATCCTTATAAGTTATATTTTAGAAACTCGCATTTTTCAATTAAAAAATAATATGGTCATTTCTTATAGTTGTTTTACTGCTTTTTAAAGGAATCATTCGTACTAATTACATAATTTTAACTCAAGCAAATTTATTTTTTAAAGCTATTCACATACACTGAGAAAACAAATATGGTCAAAATTGGCAGAATATGGTAAAATTTACCGTGTTTCTTGCTCTAAGGGAGCACTAAAGAGCACGGTAATATTTACTTAAGCGCTTTGGTAATGATTTTGGTAAAATTAACATTGAAATATTGCTTTATAATCTGCGTTAAAACATAGTAAATGTGGTAATATTTCGAACTTTTATCACGATAACTTAGAACATGGCATTAAGACCATTCATTTGGTTTAATTTACTTTTCAGTTTCGTATTTTCGCTAAATGTGTGGTAATAGGAACTATAATTTTGAAAACCAGAACTTTCGGTAAAACCATTACTATATTAACAGAAAAATTACCAAATGAATGGCTAAAATACCATATATTTTGGTTTTATTACCAGAATTATTTTTTTTACCATTCTCTTTCCCATACAATAAGATAAGTTTACCATAATTTTTTTCTCCATGTAGAATTTCAGAATATACTTTGACCTCATTTATCGCTCCTTAATTAAATTTTGCGACCATTAATTTTTTTAAATTAAATTTACAATTAAATTTTGCAACCTATTGCCTAAAATTTGCAGAAATAATGTGAAGAAATACTTGCATATGATTAATGTACTTTCAGTGTTTCAAAATTTAAAATATTTAAATAATTAAAGAAAAATTAATAAAATGAATTTTAAATAAGGGAATATATTAGTCAGAGGTGTCAATTACCAATATCAACAATCATACCGTTTATCAAGAATAGTGTAACAAAAACACAATATTATTACATTATTATAAATATTCTAAGACAAATATACATTAAATATTAGTCATGACTATCAAACTATTGACCAGATGCGCCAATAAGTTTTTTTTTATCAATGAAAGCCATTTACAACATAAATAATAATAATTATTTAATAATTATAACTTACATTTCAATCATGAACACTCAACAACGAATTTTTGTTTTAGACGGGAAAAAAATCTTTGCTTTTTAACGAACTTCTTCACAGCTTTCTTTATTTCCATAGCTCAAAGTAAGCATGAGCTGGTAAAGATACTGGATTATCGGTCTTAGAGGTTTTAATTCAAAACCAAATTTCAAAACAAACCCAAAATTACTCGCGATAATATCAAATACAATAATAAACATTAATTGTAATCTATAATTTACCTACAGTGCATCAATTCATTAATTCATTTATTACACAATCAATCCATATCATTTATTGTATAAAAATAATTATTTTCATGTATACAAAAAAGCACGTAAGAGGAATTGAAGTAGTCAAATTATTTAATAGCAACATATGTAAAATATGTCCATATTATATACCTAAAACTTAACGCTTAAACATTTGCATACTGGAAAAATATGCTTCGTGAACTCTTCTCATAAACGGGAGACGATGTGACTGCATCAACTAAACGTTGCTATTTCTTTTAGTATCTAAATACGCGATTAAAATTAAGTCTAAATTTATATACATAAAAATCAATTTACGTATATTTTAAACAGATTAACTAAAGAAGTAAATTGCAGTAGAATTAACAATTCGGTACAACTATAACTGTTAAGTGTTAATCGTTTGAAATACAGGTACACTTCTACCATTTAGCCATGTGCTCTACGCGTTTTTTTTTCTTTAATAGAATCTCAAATTATGCCTATTCTTATAACAGTTTTTGGGCAACAAGGGTTAAAATGCAGTTACTATACACGAAACACCTTGACATACAAATTTTTAAGTATATAGGCGAACATCAAAAAGCGTTATATTAATCGTTATTGAATTTTGAACTATTGCTTTTGTTGAGCCCTCTTCTAAATACCAACTTGAAAATCGTGTTGCCATTCACGAAAAAAAGTATTTGTGATAATATGGAACAGTTGTTATTCATTAGCTAAATTTTTTTAATAATAATTAAATGAGAAACTGCTTCTGAATTGTCAAAAAAACGTTTAATATTGTAACATCTGTAGCCTATTTATTTCGTCTGAATTTTATTTTAGAATTTTTCAAAGATAATAATGTTAAACTCTTGTTATTTTTTTCTCCTACTAATATTTAATTTTCCTGGAACTAAACTGGACAATGAATTTCTAAAAGAAAATTTAAAGGATTCTAAAGTGTTTGATAATTGTGAGGATAAATTAAAACTATATTTGAAACTAAAATATAGTTATTGCTTTACTCGCAGTCTAGTCAATCCAAATATATTTGAGTATAGAACTGTTTTTATAATATTCAAGGTATGTGTCTGTTTAAAATTATGTACTTTAAAAATGTAAGCGTGTTTAGATTACTAATAATAAGACTAAAATTTCAATTGAAATAAACATTTGCATGAAAATTTAGCAACAAAAAATATCTAACATCATAAACATGACGGTGATCGTATTCTCCATAACTGAAAAAATATACATACTGAATTTATTTATTTTTTTCATCATGGTTATCGAATGTAAGGCTAAATTTAAAGTACAAACAGAAAAAAAACACAAAATCAAAATAAAATACAATCAAGTGGAATGGTAAAGTATTTCAGGTAAAGTATCAAGAATGTACAAAGTCGAAACAATTTCAAATGAATTCATTTGAGAAAAGCGAATGAAATCGTTAATGAAATCATAATCAACGATTTAAAATGATTTTATAATAGGTTCGATTCAAACAAAGCTACAAATAAAACTTTAACTGCATTTGATACATTCGATATCATTATTATATATTATTTAACAATCAACAATAATAAAAAAATAACATTTTTAAGCAACAAAAATATTTGTTTCAAATGGAAAAGCTAAACATACATTTACCATATGAGTTTAGTTGCGAAAAAACTATTATATTTAGTTACAAACTAACTCAAGCGAGAAAAGATCTCAATGTTAGTTTCATAATATACTTATTAAATACAATACCTTCTGATTTCAAATTGGAAAGTAAAATTATTAAACCTTCACTAAACCCTTGTAAAAATCTGAAATTTAAAAACAGTTTTTCTTACGATCTTAAAAATGAATTTATTTAGATATGTTATTACTCTCATCATTTTAGTTTGACGTATGAAATAATTTTAAAAGAATATCAATTAAATGAGGTAGAAAAATTTAAACTATAAAAAATTGAAAAAATAGAGACTTAGTCACCTTGTTAGAGAAAATTTTATAAAGGATATTTGATAATACAAACTATTTAAAAGAAATATCGGTGCTTATGTAATTTTTTATTGTGTGAGTCTCTTTTGTGACATATTCATACAAAATTTATTTAATATCTCTCACATTTTTATTTAAAAAGAACGTTAGTTTGATCAGATATTGAACTTAATATACATAATTAAGAAAGATACCTTTTAAAAGGGTTTCTGAACACATAACAAAATAGTATGAATTTTTTAAAAACATCGAGTGGGAAATGATAAATAGATAATACGTGATATTAAGGTATGAACTTTTTCAATTAACTAGTCTCAAATCGTATTATTTTTACAATGTTATATAATATTGCTCTAAATAAAATTCTTGCTAAGCTTCATATAATTTCCGAACTAAAAATCTAAATTTAATAATTGTGAAAATTAATTATTATATGAAAATTAAGTTGGATGATTTTTAAAGGAGAAAATACACTGGTTAATAACAATTACTTTGAAAATGACACATTTTGATTCAAATATTGATACAATACACACATTATTTATAATTATTTTATAACTATAGTAATTTATTTTCATCAAGTAATTTAAAGATATAAGTAGATCATCTTGAAGAAGTGTACAGCTCTCCTGAAGGTTATTTGTCATTTGGGCAGAATTAAATGCAATTATAATTTTATTTCCTAAAATTTTTACACAACTTACTAAAGTACAAATCCTGGTGAAGCGGCATGCTTTCAGCCAGAGTTTTCCTGTAAAAGAACAAACGAATAATTACACCCTATACTTGTTGGTAACTAATATTGTAAGTTAAAAATTATATCAGTTTTATACATTGTTTTTCTTTTATAACCGTCGTTGAACAGTCGACCCAATTTTATGGGTTTACGACTATTAATTTTCCCAATCTAGAACCCAATCTAAAAGACAAGGGAACTTCTGGATCGAGTATTGGGAGAAATTTTGCCTTCGAGGAGGACTTTTTGCTACAGCTAACCCGCATTTGCGTTACATGGAGAGGAAGACCACGAGAACCTCTCACTGTTAGCCTGACTGTAAGGGGACTTTAGCCCATGATCCGTCTACCACTGAGGACATTTTACGTCAACACTGTGGTCGGTACAAGCCGGATGCGGAATTCGCATCGACTAGCCATTGCTGGAGTTCGAACCAGGTCACTTATTGGAAGGCGATCGTTCTATCCCCGGAGCCATCACGGCTCTAACGTGTTCACTATGTAGAATGTGTTCTTAGTTCTAAAACAGTGGTTCCCAACAGTTTATTGCCCACCGCACCTTCTAAAAGGTAGCTGACATCTATTGCCCCCTCATTTTTTTTTTCTCGTTTTGATTGAAAAAAAAAACATACATTGTTGCAAGTGAGCATCAGTAAATTTGAATACATGCTAAATTATACCTGATTTAAATTCAAATTAAAAGTTAATAATGAAGCAATTTTATCCAGTCACTTGTAGAAAATTTTATAAGAAAAGAAAGTGTATCTTTTCACTTTTTTTTCCTCCAAAAAGAGGTGATAATTGAAGCGAAATAACTGAAACAAGAGTGAATTTTTTTAAATAAATTTTTTTAATGTAATCTGGAAAAATTGGAAACGTTAATGGGGAAAAAAACTGAAAATTTGAAAACTCAATTGTTTGTTTTCATTTCTTCAATGACTGCCTTGTGCTTTTTGAATTTCAGTTAAAGCTTGAATATCAGGCTTTATGTTCGTTAGATTTACGCGTAGGTCTCATTTGAAGCAAATGTGCAACATACTTCTTTGTTTTGTGAGAAGCTGGACGACCGAACTAAATCTACTTTCAGCTAAATATGTTGATGAGACCCAGATGAAGAGCGATTCGCTGGCTCTTTATTATTAATTGCATTTTTTTCCGTTTGAATACTCATCGCCCCCTGATGATTATCGCCTCGCTGAGGAGCCATGTCGCCCCCTTTAGAGCGATTACTCCCAGGTTAGGTGGGAACCTTTATTTTAAAAAAAATTTGCGAAGTAAACCTAGTCTTCTTACTGTAACTAAATACTATAACTAACATATGTACTGTGCACTGCTTGCAACAAGAACAAATAGAAATAAAAAAAATCAAAAGAAGCCAAATCAGGAATGCTTAAAAAGCGAGTTAAATATAGCAACCATGTTGCCTTTTTTTTTTTACAATACATCGATAATTAACTAAAACAAACTTTCACTTTAAATTCTCCAGAATTACTTAACAACATTAATGTGTAATGAAATGCAGCATATTTGAGCTCAGAAATTATGTTATCAACTTCATTTATTAAAAACAAAATTATCTGCTTGAAAATATCGCCTCGTACAATAAGCTGTAGTAAGCAGCTGTTTACGTTCTAACGGGAAGTCGAAAAAGGTCAAGAGCTCGAGATTTGTTTTTGCTTACATTTGTACTGACACGCTGCACAACTTTTCTATATCGATGCGAATTATACTGCCAACATCCTCAAGACGCAATATAATCTGTATAAAAAAATAGATATAAATATAAAAAATAAAAAGGAACTTTATTCGGGCACATTTGAACAGATCGATGACTGAATCACATTGGAAATTTCAATAAGGATATCAAGCATCTACCTAAAACGAGAACACTGCATTTCCATACATGCACCTTTTGATGATGTTGAAAAGTTAATTGTGTATTTCCCCACTCTTTCCTGATAAATATGTGTCCAGAATAGGATGTCATATAAAATCTGCTTTCACACGCAAAGAGTACTCTGTTCCATAACTCATCTGGTGTCCTAAGTACTAGAGTAAACATGGTCTCAGGTGAATAAAGGCATTAATAAGCAATGCCGTACTGGTCGTTGTGCAAATTGATCTGCGTTGGGCAGCCTTCTGGCCATGATAAATTCCCTTACCTGTCATTCGATTGACTTTTTTTAATCTTCTGCATAACTTCTTACATGTCGGACGATATAATGGTAATCCACCACTGTAATGATCACCCACCACTGTAATGATCATCCACCACTGTACTGATTATCCACCAACACCCGCAAGCATGCAATCTACAAAAATCTTGGGCACAGTCGGATCCTATAGCTGAACGTGATCTCCAAGTTCGAAAATGCTGTGAGCAATATCAAGGTTGGCACACAGCACAGTAGTTAATTTTACATATAGTTTTTACCATAACCATAGTTTTTATCATTTTCATAAAATATGATTTCAATGAGTTTTGCCATTTTAGAAAAAGAAACAATTTCTCCCATGTCTTTAATATAGTCAGAATAAGTTTTTATTTTTTCTGCCCTTTCTGTGAATGTCTTAAAAAAAGCACACATTTGAGTCAGTATTGTAAAAAAGAACATGGAATATCAATATAACCTACATATACGTAGGGAATGAAAATTCTCGTTTGTTATTTTCAGCATTAACTAAAGTGCAACCTAATCAAATAAAGATCTAGAGGGAGATAAATTTTTCAAAAACAATGGGTAAATATTTATTATTTTAAAAAAAATTAAAAAAAGTTTTTAAAAAAAAGCTTTAAAAATAGCAATAACATTTAAATGAATAAGAATTTCAATAAAAGCTAAGGTGAAATTCCAAATAAAAAGAGTCCTTTCAGCCTGAGAAATTTCAATTCTTGGTTGTCATTTTGTGAACTGCAGAACCACTGGCGAGGCATTTTTTACTACAATTTTAACAGTTAATAGTTCTGGAAACAACTATCAAATGTTAATTAGTTTTATATCATCATATTCCCAGTACATTTTTTGTAAATCAAAACAAAATGTAACGTTGAACACCCAAAGCAGCAGCTTTTTCAATTTTTTTAATATTGGGAGGTTTAAAAATTTAAATATTAATTTAAAAGTTTTATATTTGATNTGGTGCACGACTTGTAACAGGCATAAACCTCTCGAATCGGTTCGCTAAGGCCCTGAGTCTTTTAATTACTATTATAGCTCATCGACTATAATTTATTTAATATTAGAGGAACTAATATTTATTATATATATATATATATATATATAAAATGTTTGTGTAATTTATTTTATTCTTTACGAACTTGTTTCAGTTTTCACTTCTAAGAAAAGAAAAAGGTAAAAGAGGAGCAATGTTTACAAAACATTTTATTTCGATAGTTAAAATTGCATACAAGTTTCGATACATTGAAGAAAAATCGAAAAATTTCTTTCATTCAACGGATAGAACTACTGACGTAGTTTAAAACTTTTGACTTCCACTTTCTTAATGGCTGCTTTAGGTTCAAATTTATATACTTCACAACACTCTTTTGTGGTGTTTTTCCTATCCTGTTTTCAATGTTTTGCTTCAGTGTTGATGTTTCAATATAAAATTTAACTTTTAAAATCCATAAATCTCCAATTTTTAACGTTATGCTAGCAATCTTCAAAACTTTCATTCTTAATATTCGCTTCTAAGATCAATAAATATCAAACAAATTCAACTTTTATTATTGCGCACATTGAATATCACTTAGCATTTTAAATTAAATGTAATATGGTTGAAAAAACTACAGTAAATAAATTAATAAGGAAAACCAATATTCATTAAAAATCTGATAGTTTCCTGATTTTGAATAAAGTTTACCTCTACAATAAATTTTTCAATTAAATTTTTAAAAATAAAAGATTTGTAGTTCTCTGACTTAACATTACACACCATTTAGCTTCTATACTAATGCTAAGTTAAAAAGCATTGCTATATTTTAATTTTAAGCCATCGAAGATGTAGTATAGGTTTTAGAAAGACATGAAAACCAAATAAAAGAGGTACGTGAATGATACTGATAAAATTTATATTGATTAAATTCCATAAATTTTACGTTTTAGTTTATTTAACTGTTTAAAAGCATATAAAAACTACACTTCGTACTTTACAAGAAAATAAATTACTGAATAATAATTTAATTTGCCGATATGATGCCGATGACGATTAAGACTATATCAACTTGATTCTTATTTCTTACTTTTTCGAGAAAACCATATAATTTTTTTACTGTTTTCAAGTAATTTTATTTATCAAACTAAACCAATCAATTTATACAATTTACTTTAGTATAAAATTCTATAGCTGTTTAAATAAAAAAAGCTTTATTATACCTAACTTAAAGGTCTACTGTTCTTTATTGAAAAAAGAAACTCAACCATATAATTTTTTTTTACTGTTTTCAAGTAGTTTTATTTATCTAACTAAGCCAATCAATTTATACAGTTTACTTTACTATAAAATTCTATAGCTGTTTAAAAAAAAGCTTTATTATATCTAACTTAAAGGTCCACTGTTCTTTAATGAAAAAAGAAACTCAACCATATAAATTTTTGTTGTTGCAGTTTTTAAGTAATTTTATTTATCAAACTAAACCAATCAATATATACAATTCATTTTACTATAAAATTCTGTAAGTGTTTAAATAAAAGCAAAAGCTTTATTATATCAAACTTAAAGGTTCACTGTTCTTAAATGAAGAAAGAAGCTCACACTTACCATATAGAATAGCATCATTTTCAAATGGCAACAGATGTGGATGTCTACTGTTTTTCGAATACTATTAGGAACGGCAGCTGGTTTTGTGAAAGGGGCTCAGCTGGAAAAGTCTGGCACAAAAAACGAACGAAAGAATAAAAAAATAATAGTTGGCACACATTTAGAAGAATGACATGGTACGGACAGTCAGGAAACGGTTACTCAAAAACCTCTAGACACAGAACATTCAGTGCAGAGAAGAAAACAGAAAAAAATAAGAGGCAGGAAAAGTCGAAAATCGATCGATAGACGGGGGTGTAGCTGTGCTGAGAATGAAATAACGTTCTTTTTTCTTTTTTTCTTTCAGGAACAGAATGGAGGGGGGACGTGCACAGAATCCATCGTCTAAGATATCTTGTAATAGAAGGCACCGATTATATTTGACAACCAACATACGGCATTTCATTTGCTGTGATATATTTTTGTTTTCTTTTTCTTAACAAAGAAGTAAAAACATAGAACAGGGGCACAAAGTGATAACCTCTACTGTTCACATGGCAGTATAACCATAGTTTGAATCAAAAATAATGTTCGCTGGAACTAAGTAGTATGGTCCATTGTGCAAATAGCAACTCAAGACGCATCAGAAGAAGCTGGAGAAGAAACTGGCTGGTCCTTGGCCCTATGAATGGGAAAAAGAACAGGAAATATGAAAACCATTTTAATAATCAAAAAGTTTTAAAAAACTGACATAACAATTTAGTTTAGCTTTTTTAAGTTGTCTAGCTAGTATTTTAAAGCAATAAATGTGCCAAAACATAATGATCTTCAAATTCATAGAATTTTCAATGCAAGATTCTTACTTTCTTACAGAACAGAAAGGGATAGTTGGGATTCGTGTTTTTGCTAAAACAATCTTTTTGCATTTTTTAGAAAAAGTCCATCTTAGTTATAGAGTTAAAATACATTTGTTTAAAATGCTATTCAAAATGTCAGTTTCCTTGTACGCAACATTATGACAACGCATTTAATACCAGGACCATAATTGTAAGTTTCACTACTATAAAAGTATTTATTCGAAGAATTAAACTTAAATTTTGGATTAAAAATAAAGTGTTAATACTTTTTAATAAAATTTATTTTATTTTCTTAAATAAAATAACTAGTTATAATTTGTTTTTTCTTCCATGCATTAAACATTATTCAAATTTGAATTGAACTCTTCGAATAGATATTTTTTATGTTTATTAAACTTTGAATTCTAATTATAATGACAAATGCGTTGAAATAATGTTACACCATGAAACTGGCATTTTGCATACAATTTTAAAATAATATATTTAAACTGCAAAATTAAATTGCACATTTAAAAGAAAATGAAATCTTTCAATTGAAATAAATGACAGATCAACGGAAATAACAGAAATAGAGTCCAACTATTTCTATATATATACAGTTCAAAAATAAGGAGTTAATTTGTAAATGGAGTTAATTTTGCAAATGTCATGAGGTTGAATTATGTCTACATTTTGTTGCGTTTATTACTTTTCGAATACTGATTAAACTCTTTAAGTATTAAGAATATAAATTGTACCATTGAAACAAAAAAATCTTTCAGTTATGATTTTTTATTAAATAAATAATTTAATTTGTGTCATTAATGGTCTTAAAAGTATTCTCAGAGATTTTCATTTTTAATAGAATATTTTTATTTTAATTAAAATTTGTCTATTTTTCTTTCATTTTCATCATTATTATCTTATGAACTAAAATTTTGGAAACTAAATATTTTATTCTATGAATGGGAATCAAAACATGTAAGTATTTTTTTAACGAAATTGTATTGAATAATTTGAAAATGACTTGAGAGTTGGGCTTTATTGTCTTAAGAACTTCGAATTTCTCTTTCAACTGAAAAATGTTACTGTTAGAGATTAAAAATTGAATTTGTTTTTCTTACCTCTTAAACTCAACTTTTAAATTATATATCACATATGAAACACTCTTTTATATGTCCCAAATTGTAGTTTTAAGAGGGTAAGATTGAAATGAAAGTAGACATAATAGAATAAATTCAACTTTATCGTTACTCACTGGTTGAGCTTGCTTCGATGGATCTTGCTTGTCTGGTTCTGAACGTCGGAGAGGCATTGGTAATGTTTGAGAGCCTCCTTGCTGACTTCCTTTTCTCATACCTCCTAACTGGTTATCTTTCTCTCTCATAGCTCTGGAGAAATAATTTATGATTTGCTTAGATAAGTGATTAAAGATATGGTTTGATTTTGAACATTAAATAATTGATATAATTTCACATCAACATGTTTCACACTATTAATCCCTTACACTTGCAATAGAAAAATCTCTCCATATTAGACGAATCAGGAATTTTTGAGCCATATTTCGTTAATTTTGAGAACAATTTCGTCACAAAATCACGTGATTTTTGACAGGCTCTCTCACGTGTCATCTCAGTACTTCCTGTGACTTCTATTAGACATTTTTATCTGATTTGCTTTTCAAAAAATTCAGGGATTAGCAGGGATTAGTGTACTCTATATAGTTAACATGATTTCCTGAACGGAGAAAAAAAATTCTGGTGAAATTACCGTACTGTATAGTAATTGCATTTCTGGTGAAAAGAACTATAATTCTGGGAAATAGAACCAAACTATATTAATTTACATGATTAAAATACAATGTTTTATAAATCATTTTGATATTACAATAATGCGAGTATATATTCAACATGTTTCTCATATCAGATAAGTTTTTAATTTAAACTAATAATTTGTTTTTTTTTCTCTTCAGAGCTATTTTTCAATTATTGCAATTACAGGAAATGATTAACTCAAAACATGAAAAGATTAACATGAATCACGTGAAAAGATTTACTGAAAAGTGCATTTAAAGAATCAAGTTATTTCATGTCAAGGTGTAAAAGTCGCACTTTTTGTAAAGACAGAAACAGAAGCAGGTTTTAAGATTGAATACATTTTTTTAAAAAGGAAAACAAATATTTTATCTGTTTGTCTTTCACAAAAAATATTTACAAAATATAAATATAAAACTTTGTGGTTTGAGCATACTCTCATTACATCATTGGAAACAAAATTATATTTCGAAAAAGAAAGTGTTTAAATTGGGTACTTGCAACTTGAGAAGAAGTGAAGTGATTACGCCTAACCACGTGATTTAAATCAGATTTAATTGGATATCTATAACGACGTCGTATATGTCTGTTGAACCTAATTGGCTTCTGAATCGACAGATGCCAGCATTTACCTAACATGACGTCACTTGCAGGTATCCAATTCTGTAGCACATAACTGATTATTAACACTAGGCTATTCAACACGCGTAACATAATTCTCTAATTGTGTACTATCCTTTATTCACATCAACATTTGTCTTTAGCAGAGAACTACAAAAATAACTAATTTGAAAGAAAGCTCAAAGGATACAAAAATACAAGATTTGCTGCACAGAAAATAATAATCAATAAATTTATGCTCACTAAGTTTTAAAATTAATTACGAAATTCATCTTTAGATGCTCATACTAGCTAAGTAAAACTACAAAACATTGTTTTTAATGTAGCCACCATTTTCAGTACAGCGTGGTATTGTCAGAAGGTAAAATTAATTTCATTTGGAATGGTCTGACATGTTGTAGAACACATTGTGAAGTATAAACTTTTAGTAAGCAGTGTCTTTTTTTGGCAAAAGCCAAACGAATTAATTCTTACCAAATTTTAAAATTAGTTGCAGAATGTGACATTAAGTCACAGCCTAATTTCTAAATATCCCGTTTTATTAATCAAAATACTAATTTTTCGGCTTAATTTATATTTTTAGATACAGTTTTTATTGTCTTCATCTTTTTCTTCTCGCCCCTTAACGCGTTAGCGCAATGAGGACACTTTCCCCAGGAGGCTCCTTGCACATTCTTCAGACACTCCTTTTTCTTGGAAAGAAGGCTGTCGGCGACCTTTGATGTCAACACATGTTTGTGGTTACGGTACGGTCGCCGTTAGTATTTAATTATGCTTAAATTTAAGGAGTTAGTTAACTCAGTTCAGTTCGCTCCTTAAGCTCGATTTTTTTGGCTTTTTAGGAAGTTTAACTTCCACTTCTAGCTATTTCTTTAAATACCGCCCATTTTCTGGGAGCGGACACATTCGAAATTTAGTTGTCAACACCATCTTACGATCCCTTAACAGGGGTTTTTCATTTTCACCCCCTCCTCTCTTTGGAGAGACGGAGTTTTATTTTTGTTTTAAATATATGGCGGTCATATTTCTCCGACCCTCTGTGGTTCCCCTCTGCGGGCTGTGATTGTTTTGTTTTTGTTTCCTCGCCATGAACATTTAAGTGATTATTCGATACTTTGATTTTTCTCAGTCACCTCGCTCGCGTACTGAGCGTTTATTTTGCTTCGGTTTTCTCTCTGTTTGAGGGAAGGAACTTCACTCCCTTTTTAATGGCGTAATACCTGCCCGCCGACTCCCCAAGGATGCGGTTTTTTTCGACAAGAACGAAAATCAATCTATCACCATCGTAATTTTTTGGATCGCCCTTCCAGAAGCGAAATGTTTATGTGTCGACTGCGACAACTGCCAGCCGCCACTGATGCTACTAGGAGATGAAAAGATGATCAATGTTGAAAAATATGCCTTGTGACCCCTAACTGGACATACTTGTGATTCTGATGCCCCAACGATTTTATTGATAAGAAGTGATCTGCAGTAATAAACTACAAAAAAAAAAATGAACTCTGGACTTTTCCTTGTGTTTTTCTTTAAATTATTGCAGCTAAGCCAAATTGTGTGACGTCTCCCACCTGCAACAGGTATGTGAAAAATCATTACAAAGACATCTTGATTTCTAGTGTGTTTTCTTCTATGTTTTTTTTATTGTTAAGGGTTATTGCTCACTATTTTTTAGTTTCGGCCATCCTTTAAATTATAACATTCCAATATCGAGCCAGTAAAAATGTATAACACAGAATTTAGCAACACATAGGGCAACTAAGATAATCACTGCCTTCTATTGACGAACTTAGTTACTAATTTTGAAATTTGGGTGATCTGGCATGTTGTAGAACACATTGTGAAGTATAGCCTTTTAGTAAGCAGTATCTTTTGTTGACAAAAGCCAAACGAATTAATTCTTACTAAATTTTAAAATTAGTTACAGAATTTAGCAACGCATAGGGCAACTAAGATAATCACTGCCTTTTGTTGACGAACTTAGTTACTAATTTTGAAATTTGGGTGCTCTGGCATGTTGTAGAACACATTGTGTAGTATAGCCTTTTAGTAAGCAGTGCCTTTTGTTGACAAAAGCCAAACGAATTAATCCTTACTAAATTTTAAAATTAGTTACATAATTTAACAACACATAGGACAACTAAGTAATCTCTGCCTTCTGTTCACGAACTTAGTTACTAATTTTGAAATTTGGGTGATCTGGCATGTTGTAGAACACATTGTGTAGTATAGCCTTTTAGTAAGCAGTGTCTTTTGTTGACAAAAGTCAAACGAATTAGTTCTTACTAAATTTCAAAATTAGTTACAGAATTTAGCAACACATAGGGCAACTAAGGTAATCACTGCCTTTTGTTGACGAACTTAAGTTACTAATTTTGAAATTCGGGTGATATATAGCTAGTTTCCTACGTGAATTTCGCTCTTTTCCGTTTTTCTTCATTTTATTTCCCTTTTTGAGACACCCGTTAAAAATTTTTATTTTTTACTTACTGCTGCAAATTGCTAATCTGTTGATTCAAGGCGAATTTTTCCTCCTCCGAGGTGGACATGATTTGGAGTAATCGGGCTAATTCTGTCTGTGACCTGTTGGATTCTTCCCTTAGAGTTGTTAGTTCTTTTTGCAATTCAACATTCTTTCGTTGCAAGTCAGCCATTTGCCCTGGTGGAGCATGTCCTTTCGTAGCCTCCGCCTAGTTGGGAACAGAACAAAATGTAAAAGAATTTTTTTATAAAATTGTTATATTTTTCTTCTATATTGAAAAGTACAAAAAAATTATTTTTTCTATGTTGAAAAGTACATTTAAAAAGTGCGTTATAAGAACTGCATACACTGCAGTTAGTAATGTACACTGAAGAGCAATTACATTATGACCACCCTCCATCTGTAACAATGGGCTCGCCCAGGTTTTCATGGTTTCTCGCCCAGGAACAATGTTTTCATGGGGCACATTAGGACCCATAATCCTCATAGAATAATCCCTGACGTCTGTAAGCTACTGGAACAAAGTTGCAGACCAGGTTCACCCATTCATAGCAACAGTTTTTCCTGCGGGGGATGGTGCTTACCAACAGGATAATGCACCATGTCATAAGGGTCGAATCGTCGAGGAACATTCCAGTGACTTTTAAGTCATGTCCTGGCTATAAATTCACCTGACCTTAATCCAATAGAGCATTTGTGGTCCTACCAAATTCGTGCTGCCACGCTACCCCTTCTCAATGTGAGGGAATTGCAGGACCAGTTGATGAACGCTTGGTACCAGATACCTCAGACTTACTATCAACACCTTGTGGAATCAATGCTACAGCGGGTGCTAGCAGTTTTGAGGGCTAAAGGTGGTCCTACATGTTATTAGCAGGGTGGTTATAATGTAATGGCTCTTCGGTGTAATTACATCATAATGATTTCAAACGATTGAAAAAAAGTTCTGATTTAAAATAAAAAGAACGAAAGATGTACATTTCTTTTTCAGAAAGGAAAAAAAGACCTGTTTAAGTTGTTGCTCCATTTGATCCAAACGTTCCTTGCGTTTTTTAAGTTTTTTCTCCATATCTTCTTGCGCTCTTTGTTTTTCGTCCAATTGTTTGCGGAGAGCCGTAAGCTCTGCATCTTGTTGGGCTTCCAGTTTACCTTTTTGTCCTTGCAGACTATGAAGGTCTTGCTGTGAAATGAGATAACGTTTAAAAATGATTAACTTATTCTAAAATTAGAAACTGTTTTTTTTTTACTAACGCTTCTTTTGAGTGTATTTAAATAGAAAATTACAAGAAGTACGCCTCTCGAAAAAACTTATTAAAACAAGCTCATTGCTTAAATTAAAGAGTATGTTTGAAAATCTTGAATAGGGTACAAATTAGACCTCAGATCTGCCCCCAGGGTAAAATATGCCCCATTAAGTTTCAGTTAATTTACATTTAAACTAAAAACACTTTCAAGCTGATTCATATTCCTTGTGTAACGGTTAGGGCCGGGTTCAAATCCCCACTCGAACTATAGAATTTAAAATTTTATCTCTTAATTTTGTTTTCTAAAAAAGTTCAGAATTATTTAATATGTTTTATGCAATTCATAAGTTATTGCTTTTTAATTGAATAAATTTAAAAAAAAAAACTTTTTTTAAAGGCAAAAAAATTTTTAGATATATGTAATGTATAGATCTTTTCTTAAAAAATAAATTGTAGAGATTATTAAAAAAAATCACAAACTTTTTTAATCAAATTTAACTTAATTTCGTAAATTTTTTAAAAAATACTTAATTTTGCAAAATTAAAAAATTATTAAACTTTAATTCAAATTTTAAATTACAAGCTTTTCTTCTTTAAAAAAATCCATGTATTTAAATAAAAAATACCATTAATTTTTTTTTGTTTATGAAAATTTAAATTTAAAAAAAAATCAATTTAAATTAAAAAAATAATAAGATAGAAATTGAATTAAACATACTAATAGTTATCAACCTTTTTCGAAAAAAAAACCCGAAAGATAAAATTTAAATGTCTCAGATGTGATATGAACCCCCGAAGCTCACTCATAGAAGGCGGGCAACCTCTCCGTTGCACTACGAATACACAACAGTCCAAAAGTTTATGTTAACCTAAAAGTAAATAAACTGAAACTTATATGGGGCGTATTTTTCCTTAGGAACAGATCTGGCGGCTGATTATCACCCTACCTAAGGATTTCACACAAGCTCTTTAATTTAAGCCTGAGTTTGTTTTAATAGGAATTTTCGAGAAGCATATTTAGCATATGCTTTATAAGGAAAACTTTAATAACAGATGATTTCAGTTAAGTTCATTCAGGACTAATGTGAAATATTAAACGAAAATTTCACAGTCATTTTTCAACTTAGATTTTAGATTATATGATAAAGTTTTAAATATGATAAAAGTAGTTAAAAGTAGCATAGGATTTTTTTTTACTTACTTCTCTTTTTTCCAATTCTTGAACAAGCATCTCTAACTGAGCTTGGAATCGTTCTCTCTCTACGGCAAAGCTCTTTACCTCTTCCTGCGCTTTCTCGAGTTGTTTTTTTAACTGTTGATTTTCTTGCTGCAATCGCTGCGTCTCAGATTTTTGCTTTTCCATATCATTTCTCAAAGCTTCAATCTCTCGTTCGCCAGCAGTTGCTTTACTGGAGAGCTTCTGAGATTTTAACTGTTCGGACTTAAGTTGTTTATTTTGCTCTCTTGCCTTTGCTAAGTCAGCATTTGTATCTTCTAATTGTTTATGTATAGTTGCTAAAGCGTCAAGAGATCGTTCCAATTCCGTGCGAAGATCTTGATTTTCATTAACAGTTTCCTGTAATTGACCTTCCAGTCTTTGAAGCTCGTTCTGAAGGTTTGCAATATCCTTGCGGTGTTTTTCGATTTCTGAGCGATATTTCTCCATTTCTGATTTGGAAGCCTCTTGGATTTCGACTGTCTGGCCAACAGATGTTTTTGTGCGTTCGAGCTCCGTTTCGTACTCTTTCACTTGGCGTTGTAACGCATCCTTTTCGTCTGATAATTTTCGAAGTTCCTTTTGAGATTGATCTAGTTTGTCCTGCATTTTCTTTACTTCAGTTCGCATTCTGTCATATTCTGCTTGTAGTTTTTCTTGACTTTCACGCATCTTTGTAGCGTAACCTTCTGAATCTTCCATGTCTTGTTTAAGTCGCTCCACTTCCATCTGTAAGCGGCTGTTTTCGGACAATGTTCGTTGCACTTCGGCTTCCGATTTGCTCAACAGCTGCTTCAGACGAGCTGCTTCACTAGCGTGGAAATCGATCTCCTTTTGTGAGAACACTTGAGTGTCCATTTTCGTCACCAGTTCCTCAAGGTTTACTTTCAAGCTTGCTACTTCTTTCTGCAAAGCATCTCTCTCATCACGCGTCTTTAGCAATTCTACTTGAACTCTTTCAAGTCGGTCTCTCATTCGTTCAACATCCTTGGCTTCTCTATCTAGTTCCTGTTTAGTTTTTTCTTCAACAGCTGATACTTTTTCAATACGAGCTTGAGCTGCTTCAGCTTCTCTACGAAGCAACTCCATATCTGGTTGTTTTGACTTAATTTCTTGCAATCTTTTCAACTCTGTCATAGCTGTTTCATATTTATCTTTGGCTTTCTCAACTTCAATGTGCAATCTTTCAACCTCAGCACTATGTTTCTCACGTTCACGCTCCGTTATTGTTACTCCCTTCTCCATCCTGGTTTTTTCCAAATCTATATGTATTTTCTGTACTTCAGCAGCCAAGCTTTCTTTCTGTTGAGTTAATTTTTCTATCTCTACAATAGATTTTTCATATTTATCTCTGAATTTTTCTAAATCGATACGCAATCTTTCAAACTCTACTTGGGATTTTTCTTGTGTTGAATGGTACTTCGTCATCTGTGACTGATACCTGTCTAATTCCGATTGTACATTTTCTTTCTCTGATTGGATTCGATCTTTTTCCGTCTGAGCACGTCTCAACTCAGTTTGAGATTTGTCTAATTTTTCATAAACTTTTTCAACCTCAACTTGTAATCGAGCCAGCTCTTCTTGCGATTTTTCATGACTAGTCTGAGTTTTACCTACATGACTTTGCACTCTTTCTAATTCAATAGTCATATGATCCACATCAGACTGTAGTGTATCTCTTTCAGACTGTAATCGTCGCAATTCTATCTGAGCTTTTTCGTGCCTGTCCCTCATAACTTCCAACTCCATTTGACATCTGTCGTTCTCAACCCTCATTTTTTCTTCCGATTCTTTCGTTTTTGTCAGCTGCGAATAATTTCTGGCATACATATCTTTCAATGTTTCAAATTCATCTATAGATTTGCGTGCATCGTCTTTAGTTTTATTTGCAATGAGGTGAGCCTTTTCAACCTCAAGTGTGACTCTATCTAGCTCAGCCTGCACTTGTTCATACTTTGACTGAAGTTTATACTGTTCGCTTTGTGATCGTTCAAGCTTCTCGACGAGTTTTTCATATTCAGCTCGAGACATTTCTCTATCTTCTGCTGATTTCTGAAGTTGCATTTGCATCTTTTCTTGCTTTTCGCGTAAAACTCGCAGTTCTGCCTGCGACGTATCGTAATCAACATGATATTTTTCCAATTGGTTTTGAGACTTCTCTAAACGCTCACGAATAACTTCAAACTCAGCCTGAGAGTTATCTTTTTCTTTCTGCGCCTTGTTTAACTGAGCTTGAAGCACATCGATTTTCTCTTGTAATTTTTCTAGCTCAGATTGGAAGACTTCTTTTTCTTTTTGGAGGCGACTCATCTGACTCTGAGATCGTTCAAACTTTTCTCGAGTTTTTTCCGTTTCAATATGGTAAGTTTCCTTGTCCTTTTGGAGTCGCTGAAACTGATTCTGAACCTGATTCAGCTGCATTTGAAGACCTTCTATCTCGCATTGGGCGCGTTCTCTCTCTGACTGTAATCGACGGACTTCGGCATTGGACTTGTCCAATTTTTCTTGAATGCGATCTGCATCCAACTGCGCCTTATCCAAGAGAGCTTGTGTCTTCTCGTGCTGCAGCTGAGCTTTGCTCAGATTCGTCTGGACTCGCTCTAACTCTGTCTTCAACTTTTCAGCTTCAGTAAGAGCAGCGTCTCGCTCTGAATGGCAACGCGAAACGGCAGCTTGCACACGATCGTACTCTTCTTGGAGGCTTTCTTTTTCGACTTGGGCATTTTCTAGTTTTGCTTTCAATCTATAAATTTCTCCTTGGGATCTCTCTAGTTTTTCTTGAATTTGTTCCACTTCTCCTCTAGATCTTTCCTGTTCTGCTTGGTTCATTCTTAATTCTGCTTGGGCTCTTCTAAGTTCTGATTGTGTCCTTTCTAATCGCTCCTGAACTCTTCCAACTTCATCTGACTGGTACAAATGGGATTTCCCTATGGAATTTTGAGATTTTTCGAGTTCCAGCTTCATTCGTTCCATTTGTTCTCGCAGTCTGTCGTTCTCCATGGAATGCCAAGACGTTTCACTTCTCTGGCGATCCCATTCATTCTGATACTTATTTTGCTCGTTTAGAATTTTTTCTAATTCTGCACGAGCTTGGCCCAACTCAGACTGAGAATTTTCCAGTTTTGCTTCTACTCTATCTTTCTCTGCCGCGGCTTTTTCCAAACGGACTTGCAACTTTTCCATTTCACTCTCCAAACCATGCATTTTCATTTTGAATTCTGCTATTTCCCTCTCGTGCAATTCTCGATCTTCATTGCGTTCCTGTTCGGCCCTGTCTCGTTGCTCTCTAAGCTGCTGAATTTGCTTGTCTTTATCAGTGATGGCTTCTTCTAGACTGGACAAAGCTCCTTCAGAGGAAGAGTGGTGTGCTTGCATGGCAGTTAGACGAGCACGAGCCATATCTACCTGGTTGTCCTTTTCTTTGAGAAGATCTTCCAAATTTTCAATCTGAAATTGGTTTTTACAATAATTCAGTCATTGTATTTCCACAAACATATGGCGCTTTGCAAACATTTATGTTCGATTAAAAAATGTTGAAATTTTAAAAAAATTGCTAACATTTTAAAAATATTTTTAACATTTTAAGAAAGTAATTACAATTCTACGATCATTTTTAATACTCTGAAATAATCTCATTCTTTCACGTGGCATGCTTAAAATAAATTACAAATAAAAGAAAGATTATAAGATTAAAAAATAGATTACATTTATATTGTAAACTGTAAACTTAATATTTAATAATTTTTCATTTTCCTTTACTGAATAAGAGAATAGGAATGGTGTGAAGCAAAAATTTCTTAGATATTTCAAAAGGCAAAGTCTGTTTCTTTTCCATTGCTTTATGAAAAACAAATTAATGTAATTCAACATAAGCGCTTGATAGAATTTTAATAAAGATGAATTTAAAATCTGTGACACTTTAAAAAAATGTGTTTCAGTTTAGTAAAAAATATCTTTTTTTTTATTAAAATATTATTATGATTATAATACAACATAAGATAAAGTATTAAGAAAATTAAAAATGCATATTTTAAATTATCTTCAACTGTTACATTTAAACTATTTCTCTTACATCCAGATTAAAATTTTAATTATAAATACACAGAACGCCCTAAAAATTCTCCTGCAGACGATTTGTGGATTAATTTTAAAAAATTAAAATTAATTAATTTAAAGAAATTGATTATTGTGATGGATTAATTATGTGGATAGTTTTTAAAAAAAATATTCGAAACAATGATTGTTTGATACGTTTAAAAACACTTTTAACATTACGTGGAAACGAAATATTAACCTTGAATTTATAATAATGGATCCAGACCACTGCTCTTTTCTTGAAGGCAAGGCTAAATTCTCTAGTTAATGTTCTTAAAAACGCGTTTTCAAATGGAAAAGTGATTTTGTACACCCTTTAAGTAAAACCAATTTTCAGATCAATTACTTTTACGGGCATTATTCCATTTTAGCAGTAACATGAGCATGATAAATTTCTGCGTTTGGCTGACAGAAAATTTCCAAGTATAAGGAAGAAAAAAATTTACATTTTCAAAATTTTGCGTATAGCGTAACTGTAACACATAACTCAAAAGGGTTGTTGTTCTTGGGCCTTGCTTCTTAGTCAACTATTGAGAGCCCAAAATAGCAAAAAAAGCTTTATAATAATTTCTTAAATTATTAGCCATATATAGCAATATATTGGGGTCCATTGTGTAACATGATGTTGTACCTTGGGCAAATTTTTCTTACATTAACAGAGGAGTTTTAAGGAAGTGAAAGACAGTATGCTTACAATTTTCTTATTAATACAATAAATTTAACTTATAATGTATCGTTTACAAATTTTTTAAATTATTTGAATTATTACATTTTGCATAAAAATGATAAAATTTAAAGTTGGTCCAAAATAAAATAATCTTGTTCACCAAAGTAAATAATACGCGCAATTTTTATATATGGGAGATCTTTTTCCAAAATAGTAAGACAGCCGAAGCTTTTGAAATTGATTTTGATGCTAAAATATTTTTATGTGGTTAAAGACATCAATTACCACAAACAATTCTCAGTTAGTAAGCCATTAAGTCATGGACTTGTTGGAATTTCGGTTGCATTATTTTTTTTTTATAAGATTTCATTTTTCAACTTAAAAGTTTGCATATCATAAAAGCTTTGTTCTTTTTACATTTATTTATTGCAAAGAAAAGAGATGAAATATACTTGTAATATTGAAATTACCTATTAGAATTTGCAATTATGATACTCTGTACAGTGCGCGAAAAAAAGATATCCTCTTGAATAAATTTATTTCTAATGATCAGATTTTCACGTACTAAGTGTCAATCTAAATGGTTCCAAGAAGTGATTTCAAATAAATTAGTGCTAGTTGTTAAATAAGTTACAAACTCAGACACCAAAGCGTACTTTCTCCAAATAAACAAATTTTTTAACATATTTGAATTTTTGACCTTCAAAACATAGGTATAACCGTAATCTGGAAATCGTAGCCAAAAGAGTGAAGAGTCAAAATCTTTAAGCTCTGTCGGTAGAAATCAGCACAAAAAATGCTCGTTGACTAGAAACCTTGAGGTATTCCTAGCACTCCAATTTATGATTTAATTTTTTCGAAATTTTGACTATCCCCTTATTAAGATTATTAGGAATCCAAATGTATAAAAATATGTATGTTTATAAAGAAAAGTACGTTTTTGTACCCAATTTCCTTACTTAATTTATAACTATCATTAATTAATTAGCACATTTAAGGTTACCTTCTGGAACAATTAAGATAGATACTTATCGCGTTGAAATCCGATCATCAGAAAGCAGTTTATCCAGGTGGTATCTTTCTTTTTTATTTGTGCCAAGTACAATAAAATTCAATGGATTTGTACTGTCAATATTTTACGTTCTAACTTGGTTTTTACTGATAAAATAAGAGAAAAGGTACTGACAAATGCTAGTACTTCTGCTTTAAACGTTAAAAACCCTTATTATAAATTGCGCATAATATTAATTAATCATAAATTATATTACTAGTCTTGTTTCATTTAATAACACTAGAATAAATTAACATTCTAAAATTCTAAAGTATTTGAAAAATTTATTTCAGAGAATTTTTTAATTTAACATTTTGAAACGACTTAGGCTGCACTAATTCGATAGAAAATTTCTTTTTATAAACTTTATAAATATTTTAAGATTGATGTATATATATACATATATATAAACCACCTTTCTTTGTAGAACATTAATTTTTCTGTCTTTAATATCCATATGATCTCTAAGTTCTTGCATTTCCTGAGAAAGACGACTTCTTTCTTGTGAGGCTGACATTGTTTGCTGAGTTTTCTTTTCAATCATTTTATTCTTTTCTTCTAGCCGTGATCTCATTTCTTCAACCTGTTAAAAGAATAAGTTAATGCTATAAAATTCTATATGAATTTAACGAATTTCATGTAACAATTTTGAAGAATGATTAAAGTAAAGAAATTATTTCAACAATGATTTGTAATCCTTAATTATTATCTAAAAGCTCTTTTAATATTTTAAAATGACTAGATATTTGTAAGATTTTTTTGAAAATTTATTTTATTAAATAAGCAAACTTATAACTCTTTATTAAATAAGCAGACTCATGTTCATCTTATAGACCATTCATGTTAACAATCTCATCCTCTTGATTAGAAACTTTAGCGTAACCAGAATCAAATGACAGCATTAGAAATAAAACAAAATGTTCCAGCTTTTGAATTAGTATCAAATTATAGGCTTAAAAACTTTAAAAATACATTATTAAGTTTATATTGCTTTTAAAAATATGAGTGATATTTATGTTTTTAATACTTCACCTGGAAACGATTAAAGCCATTCAAAAGGTATAAATACTGAAATTGGATAGTTCAAATAACATCATTTATCCGTCATTTGTGTTTTTCATTTACAGTAAGAATTTTTATTAGTAAAAAAGTTTGAATAAATGCATTTTTTAAGAAATATCGACATTAATTAATAATACTGGAAAATCTAAGCAAAAGTAATGAATATAGTAATGAATAACAAAGTTAAAAAGCCTTTTCTTTGTACTGTTAGAAAAGTAAATTAGAAACAAGAAGAGGAATACTAGAGGAACTCCTGTCACGATGATATCACGATGTCAAAATGATATCAAAATTTTTTCTTTGACCAAATAATGTATTTTTCATTTAGTTTAAATTAACATAATTACAAATTGATTTCAGACTTTCTTGAAAAATAAAAAAAGTTTTATGAGTTCTAACATTTTAAAAAAGTACAGGCAGATTACCATAAAATATTTATGGTAATATGTGAATGCACAATAATATCATAAATATTTACTCATTGCTAAAAAAATAAAAAAAAATAATTGACCAATTTTGACAAAGCAATGCTTTACTTTAATAAGAGTTTGGTAATTCACGGAAAAACTAGTAATATCTAAACTTTATTTTGCTATTAATATGAACGTAAAAGTACTTTTTAAAATAATACTTTATAGGTGAAAAATGCATTAAAAATAACATGCTTAAACGAAGTTACCATTCTTGATAAATAACACTCGTCAAGATAATTGCTAAGACCACATGTTTCAACTCGAAATTAAACCGTACATGGGAATCACTGACCTTTCACAAAAAGGATTAATACAATTTTCAAACAAGAAAAGTATGACTGATAAGTATGACAAGAAAAGTATGATTTTGTTGCATCTTTTCAAAAGAAAGTTATACAGGATGAAAGGACCAAAAATTAAGATCACGAAGGACTGAGAATAAGAATTTAGACGATAATGTTACTTTTCCTTTATTCAAAGTGTAGTCAAAGTGTTTTGCTTTTATTTCGTAGTGCTCAAAGCAAATAATGGTTTAAGTAATTTCCTTGAATTTTTTCTAAATCAAGTGACTAATTATAGGTCACTATATTGTAATGAATGATTTGGCGTGGAAGTTCTTATGGGCATTAAAATAACATTGCGTCTATGAAATAGCGAACGGTACTTAATGCATTGGTTGTTAAAACGGAGGGATTGCTGTAATGAGAGTCGTAGTAAAGAGAGACGACTGTATTTTAGATACTCAATAAGAGATTAAACTTAATAGATAGGATTTAGATTTTCCAGTTTAAGAGTATAAAATGGTCAATAAAATGAAAAATTTGAACATGTAAATACTTACTCTAGAATTTATTACATATTGCTTAAAATTTTCTTTTTGTAACGCTGCATACTCTTATGACAAGCTTTTCTTGATTAACTATATACTATATTTTCTTATATTTTTAACGTTAACTCTATAAAAATGCTGTGATAGTAATAATAATAACTAATGGAAATTATTAGAATAATCAAGAAATAACTTTCAACCATAAAGAAATGAAACATACGTAAGAAATACATAAGAAATTTCTACTTAAATGCTAGATGACGTGAAAAAAAGGAATTCTTTTTTTTTCTTCAAAAATCGGCAAAATAGCAGTGCTTTTACCCTATTGAATTCAACACCACGCTACGGTAAAAAACTTTAACTACCAGTTAGGCGATGGGATTCTTATTTGAATGTATAAAGTTTGCTGTAATTATTTGGGTATTTACTTTATTTAAGTTCTATAAAATGCTTAGATGTTAATTCTTTAAAGATTTGTGTTAATGAAGACAAAAATATATTTTGTAAATCAACTTCCGATTTAATACGATATTTTTAATCTTGTTTTTAAAGTAGGTAATGACACTTATACTAACGAGATTTATTAAAATGGAAGTCAAAAATTAAATCATAATTAAAACCTGAAATTACTAATTATCTCATTAGGTTTACTGTTATCATTCCTTTAACATTCGGAATCAAGTTAAGCTAAAACTGAGTTGAGCATTGTGCTGATGTGCTGACCGGAATTATATTTCCATAGGGTGAACGTAGTATGCAGGATAACGAAGAAAAAAAAATTCTGTTTTAACACTAGAAAGACTGAAACTTAGCATATATCTATACTGCCCAAAAGCAGTCAAAATGACTGCATTGTGAAAGAATAACATGTAAGGAAATTTGTTTAATTAACTTTTAATATTTTTTATATTATTTACAGTTANAATTAATACTAATAATATATTAGATTTTTTGTTAGTTAAAAATAGCTAAGTAAAAAATGTTACAATTGACCCCACTCTCCCCTACTTAATGCATCGGTTGTTCGTTGTAATGAGAATCGTAGTACAGAGAGACGACTGTATTTTAGATATTCAATAAAAGATTAAGCTTAATAGATAAGATTTAGATTTTCCAGTTTAAGAGAATAAAATGGTCAATAAAATGAAAAATTTTAACATGTAAATACTTAATCTTGAATTTATTGCATATTGCTTAAAATTTTCATTTTGTAACGTTGCATACTCTTATGACAAGCTTTTCTTGATTAACTATATGCTATATTTTCTTATATTTTTAGCGTTAACTCTATTAAAATGCTGTGATAGTAATAATAATAACTAATGGAAATTATTAGAACAATCAAGAAATAACTTTCAACCACAAAGAAATAATACACACATAAGAAATACATAAGAAATTTCTACTTAAATGCTAGATCATGTGAAAAAAAAGGAATTCTTTTTTTTTTCAAAAATCGGCAAAATAGCAGTACTTTCACCCTATTGAATTCAACACCACGCTACAGTAAAAAACCTTAACTACCAGTTAGGCGATGGAATTCTTATTTGAATGTATAAAGTTTGTTGTAATTATTTGGGCTTTTATTTTATTTAAGTTCTATAAAATGCTTAGATGCTAATTCTTTAAAGATATGCGTTAATGAAGACAAAAATATATTTTGTAAATCAGCTTCCGATTTAATACGATTTTTTTAAATCTTGTTTTTAAAGTTGGTAATGAAAATTATACAAGCGAGATTTATTCAAATGAAATTCAAAAATTAATTCATAATTAAAACCTGAAATTACTAATTATCTCATTGGGTTTACTGCTATCATTCCTTTAGCATTAGGAATCAAGTTAAGCTTAAAACTGAGTTAAGCATTGTGCTGATATGCTGATCGGAATTATATTTTTATTGGGTGAACTTAGTATGCAGGATAAAGAAGAAGAAAAATTCTGTTTTAACACTAGATAGACAGAAACTAAGTTATTGCTTTTGGGCAATAACTTAGAATATTGCCCAAAAGCAATCAAAATGACTACATTGTGAAGGAATAACTAATGTGTAAATAAATTTGTTTAATTAATTTTTTATATTATTTACAGTTATATATCAAGTTATTAGTAAATATCAACAATAAAAAAATTTACTTCGCTTGGAAAAAAAATACTTTATGCATTATTATTTGTACACTCTTTGAAAATGAAAAAGCAGTTAGGAAGTAGTCAAAATGGCTTCCTAGGGGCAATCTAGTGTTAAAAAAGAAAATGTTCTTACTATTTGAACAATAATATTTTGAATTATATATTTTTTCAAAGACTATCAGCTTAAGTTATCGATGTTGTTCAAAACTATAAAATCAGTTTATTACTTGCTGTAGTAGCTAAGCTCTTTATTTCCTTTTTTTTAAACGGCTGGCACTGAACTTATCGTTCTTCGCCATGGAAGGTACCAGAAGTGTTGCTCGTTTTGCGCTACCTGGGAGCACCTTGTGACCAAAGTCTCGGAGGCGAGCAACATCATCCGCTCCCCACTGCCACAAATACCCGATCATAGGGTGGGCCACATTCACACATCACATACAATAGAAAACAACACACAGGGAGAAACATCCATACCACGAGCAGGATTCGAACCCGCAGCTATTAACTTTGCAGTCAGGCAATCTAACCGCTCGGAAACTTGACCGACATGTCGGCTAAGCGTAGATGCCCAACCGAAAAGAGGTAATACACTGATACGAAAAGAGAAAGATTTTTAAAAACATACATAATTAACAAGCAAATGACTAGTTATGTTACAAATAACAAACTATAATTTATGTTAAATGATGATGGTTGTATCATTAGTAACAGTACAGAAAAAATCAACATATTTGTGCAAAAATTTAACAACTCATTTAAATAATTCTCTCGCAGATTTTGCATGAACTTAATTATGCTCATAATTCAGTTAGAGAAACGATTTAATTTAATATGAGTTATTTTTTTTAAACAATGTGCATGGAATAATTGCAAATCAGTGATTTCTTATCCACTAATCATATTGGTGGTTTATTTAAAGAGAAAAATGAAGTCGTACATCTGCTTGAAGCATGCTGTAGTGTTCTTCTTTAGCGCACAAAGATTCCTTCAGCACAGCAATGTGGCGTTGGTAATCTTGATGTTGTTCTTCCAAAGTTTTCATCTTTGCACTCATGGCTAAAATTTCTTGGTCCCTTTTATTCAGTTCTATTCGTAGTTCATCTACCTATTTAAAATACTGTCTCCGTTAATATTACTTACCGAGTGTCTCCAAAAGATCGACCATTTGAAAAACCAGTTACAGATAAACGGAAGGGAATAGGCATGTATGGTTTTTGCTGTATTCTAAGAAAACCAGTCATTTTGTTCTCAAAAAATTTCAAAATAAGTTACGAATTTCATCGATAGATGGCGCTGATTGTAGAGAAAAATTATAAAATTATGTTTCAGAAACAGCTACTACAACGTGGGACAGGAATTAGGATGGTCTAAAGCACATCATTCTAATCAACAATGCAATCTACGGACAAACTTTATAACAATTATAGAATTTTGGGGAGGAAAAATATTTAGTTTCCTAAGCAGAAAGCAGCTAACCATACACCTGCTTCAGTTTTACTTTAGGTTTTTCAAATCGTCTGTCAATCGTGAAATTCAAAAGAAAAAGAAAAAAGGAAAAGAGAGAAAAGAATGGGAAGGAAGAAAAAAAAAAGATTTGAAGTAATAAAAGTTGGCTAACACAAAATTTAGACAAAATATAACTCTACTAAAAAGTATGGAATTTCTTCTTATGTGGTCCTTCCTGTGATTCTACTTCTTGAGTAAATAATATGACAAACATTAAACTTGGATACATTTCCTTTTTGCAGAAAATAAAGGAAGAAAACGTAGTTTTCTCTCTGATAAAAGGTATGTTTATTTTTCAAATTTGATTTTTTTTTATTTGTAAAAGCAATATAAATCAACAATTACCAGTTTTTTTCAGAAAACAATAAACTAAAGAATATAATAAGATATAATATTCTAATATAACATTGTTCTAAAATTCAAAATGATGTAAGAATTTTTGTGAAAAATACGAAAGTGAAAGGATAAGTTGAAACTGATATTGATGAAGTAATTAACCGATTGGTACCGAATCTTAAAATTTTTTAATATTATTTTGCATTTTAATATTTCATGTATTGAAACAAATTTGAAAATTATTATAAAAAATCGTAAGTGCAAATTTTCCAATCAGATGCAGCAAGTGCAAATTGACAACTTTGTAAAAGCTTAGAATTAAATGCAAAATGTGAAAAACTAGCAAGCAAAATTCAAATATTTAAGAATTCTCACATTTGTGTTTGATTAAAATATTTGCTGTTTGTTATTTTATAAAAATTAAACAAAATTAACATTTTTCTTCTTGATATTGCAAAAATCTAATTTTGTGGATAGAACATCAAAATATAAAGTCTACATAATTTATTAGCCTTAATAAGTTCCGTTGATTAAATTTCAAATAAAAATTACCAAAAAAAGTCATTAATTTTGAATATTTGTAGAAAACTTAATTTCTGTACGTGTATAATGCATTTGTTGAAAAAAAGGAACTGTGGTCACTAATTCTTAAAATTATTTCGGAAATTGTGCGAAATGAGAAATGGATTATCTGAAAAACTTTTGATCTAATGATAAGCTATTTCTTCACGTAATAGCATTAAATTTAATAGTTCAAAAAGTAAGCCATTAATATGTTAATTAAGTAGTGGTAAAAACATGTCTTATACCTATTTAAAATCGAATTTTAGATTCCTATCAAAACGAACGAGTCACGATTGCTTAGCTGTTAAAAACCCTGAGCTGTCTGTGAGATGGATTGAGGTTCGATCCTCAGCGTCGACTTTAAGATCGACCGATGTGTACCAGTTTTTTAGGGAAACACAAGCTGCTGGAGCGTAATACTGACCTCACTGCCACAACGATCACAAAATTGTGAGGCCTTAACTTCCTTGGTTCACAACAGGATGTTAAACGGATGCTTTCTTTCTCATAACACAAAATAATTATTAAATGATTTGCAATTACGAATATTGATAATTCTCTGTAGATGTGTTTGAATAGAAATTTCTTCATTGCCTAACAGAAATCATACAGATATAATTATCATCAATTATTATAAATAATTACTGAAATCTTTTTCGTAAATAATATTGAAAATCGTTATCGCAAATAATTGTTAAAATGTCATTTTTGTGAAACATTATTAAAAATTAAATTAAAAAATATAGCATGAATATTTAAAAAATCTAATAACAAAGAAATACAGGATCATTTTAATTTACTGCTGCGTGTTTACGTAACATAAGAAACAAACATTTGAATCCCCATTTTAAAAAAAATATCTTAATTGAAGTTAAAAATGTAAAATAAAATATCATCTATATTTACAAAAACTAATAAATAATAAATGAACAATCGTAGTAAACCTCTCTTAGTCTTCCGAGATCTTTGTCTTTAGCTTCCAATATATTTTCCAAATGTTTTGCTCTTGTTTCACTCTCAAATAATTTCGTTCTCAAACGTTCTATTTCTTTCCTTTCTTCTTCCATCATTTTGTTTCCTAAGTATAAAGAATAAATACATATATATTCGAACAACAATGATTAACTTATAAGAAAAATATTTTAAACTGAGAATTATACTTATAAGAATCAAGTATAATTGTAAAAATACAAAATATCAATTTCTCCAGCTTAGTAATTTCATATAAACTAAAAAGCATCTCTTTATTTCCAGACGACAATTGTTATTATCATTTAAGGTTGTTTTTTTTGAAAAATCTGTCTTCATGTAAGAAAACGCTTTTTTCTTCTAACAAGACAGCCTTATTTTATTTCATTTATGTTTTTGCAAATTTCCATAACTGCTGTGAGTTTGTAATATTTATTCATGACTGTTAGATCAAGTTTATTCAACTTATCATCTTCCATACTAATTCTGAAAATGGCCCAAAACGCCAATAAGAAGAAAAGCCAAAGTNCATAACACAAAATAATTATTAAATGATTTGCAATTACGAATATTGATAATTCTCTGTAGATGTGTTTGAATAGAAATTTCTTCATTGCCTAACAGAAATCATACAGATATAATTATCATCAATTATTATAAATAATTACTGAAATCTTTTTCGTAAATAATATTGAAAATCGTTATCGCAAATAATTGTTAAAATGTCATTTTTGTGAAACATTATTAAAAATTAAATTAAAAAATATAGCATGAATATTTAAAAAATCTAATAACAAAGAAATACAGGATCATTTTAATTTACTGCTGCGTGTTTACGTAACATAAGAAACAAACATTTGAATCCCCATTTTAAAAAAAATATCTTAATTGAAGTTAAAAATGTAAAATAAAATATCATCTATATTTACAAAAACTAATAAATAATAAATGAACAATCGTAGTAAACCTCTCTTAGTCTTCCGAGATCTTTGTCTTTAGCTTCCAATATATTTTCCAAATGTTTTGCTCTTGTTTCACTCTCAAATAATTTCGTTCTCAAACGTTCTATTTCCTTCCTTTCTTCTTCCATCATTTTGTTTCCTAAGTAAAAAAAATAAATACATATATTCGAACAATAATGATTAACTTATAAGAAAAACATTTTAAACTGAGAATTATACTTATAAGAATCAAGTATAATTGTAGAAATACAAAATATAAATTTTTCCAGCTTAGTAATTTCATATAAACTAAAGCATCTCTTTCTTTCCGGACGACAATTGTTAATATCAATTAAGGTTGTTTTTTCAAAAAATCTTCATGTAAGAAAAAACTTTTTTTTTTCTAACAAGACAAACTTATTTTATTTCATTTATGTTTTTGCGAATTTCCACAACTGCTGTGAGTTTGCAATATTTGTTCATGACTATTAGATTAAGTTTGTTCATCTTTAGCCATCACCTTCCATACTAATTCTGAAAATGGCCCAAAACGCCAATAAGAAGAAAAGCCAAAGTTTTCTGACTATAAAAAATGTATCTGGTGTAATTTTTTTAATATTGAGAAAGTGAGATTCCAAAGCAGCCTTTTAGAAGTATCAAAATACTGCTCTAACTGTTTTATTTATTTATTTTATTTTACTTATTTATTTACAATTCTTGAAATTGTGGTATTTCGGAATCGTTCTCAAGGGAAGAATTTATAAGAAATACTTTTTATATCGGATTGTGAATTGTCTATATACAAAATTTCGATTCATATATTTTATTATTATTTTCCTAATTAAGATTTTCTCCAGTCTTTTACTCAGAATTACATTATTCAAGACTTAAATATTAACTACAAAAGTTTAAAAAAGAATATTTAGCGTGAAATGATCACGTGTTTTACTGAGACCTGTTTCATATATTTGTGATGAATTTAAGTGCAAACGATTACAATAACCATTCCTGTTTTATTATTATTTCTTAAACTAAGACTTTTTCTTCACTTTTAAACAACTTAAATTGCATTCATTAAGTGTTAATGATTAGCTGTTAAAATATTAAAAAAAAATTATTTTAAATAATCGTCTGTCAACATTTTACTGAATTCCGCGTGATTTTTTCTGTGAAATCATATGCAAACGATTTAAAACTTAGTGTCAATATTTCATTAGTCTTTAGAAATCTCGGAACATTATTTTCTCCTTTTTTTGGTAAAAAGATATTAAGTTTTTCTAAAAAAAAATTGAAATAAAAAAAGTGCATTTGTAAGTATTTGATGCTTTTCAATGACATATTATCAGTATTAACTAAACTATTAATCAAATAAATTAATAATTTAATTAAATATCATAGTTTCAAATATAAAAGTATTGAAAATGTATCCCACATAGTATTATTTTGTACGCATGCTTAATTAAACACATGTGTTTCTCTGCCAGTGAAAGGTTATTTCAGTGGTCAAGATTCTCAATTTTAAATACTCAATCTCAATCAGAAATTGATTAGTTAATTGTGTGTGTCAAGTGTTATATCCTTTGTTTACTTTAGTATGTAGAACAAAATGCTTAACTTCAGCATGAGATTAAATTTTGAAGTATGTTGAAATTCCAATTAAGATAATATAAATTAAATTTTATTTAATTTCAAAAATAAAATAAAATAAACATTTTTTTAACACTTTAGACTATTTTTATTTTAAATTCATGAAAACTTTTTAATGTTTGCTGTTGAAATTCGACACGAATGATGTTGATTTGTTAAATAAATTTGTACTTTCTTCACTTATACAATTTTAGTCTAGAATCAAATTTTTTTTAGTTAGAATAGAATAATATAACCTTCTTATTGTGATTTTTTATATTAGTTGTAAGCAAAAAGTTTAAAGGATATGCATGTATTTTCATCATTTAACAGTTCAGTTTCTTTATGTTACTTCTGTATTGTATTGCTCTTTATCTATAAAATACCTCAATAGTGAATTCTTCAATAATTCATTAGATTTTTCACAAACTTGAAATTTATAGAAACGAAAAAATTCTTTGAAAAATAAAACGCGATAGTCATTTTTTCTTCATTCTTTATAAATAAAAATGCTTGTATGTTCCCTTAAATAATTTTATACTGAAATCATCTAGTTATTTTAGAGAAAGTTTGACACCCAAACATTATTTTAAACTGTAAGATAAAATTAAAATTTTTTAAATTTTTTATTTTAGTGATTTTACAGTTTTGCGGTACATGTAAATAGTAGTAATTGGAGATCACGTCAGCAGCACATCGTGAATTTTATGGACCTGTAAAAACTCTCTCAAAAGAGTAACTCTCACATCATCAGAGTATTCAACTCCAGTTTTTGAAATCGTGCCAAAAATGGTATAAAAAATTCATTTTATTTTCATGTTATTTATTTCTGCATCACTTGTTTCTTATTTCAATTTCACTTTGATATTACGTACTAGATGACCTATTTTCATTTCTTGTTAATGTCCCAAATAATATGAATCTGAGGGGAAAAAAGGCTTGTTTCTTTTATAAATATTGCTTTACATTTCTTCTTTTATGCATGGGCTTAAAGCACTTTACAGTTGTATCAAATGAAAATGTTATGAATAATTTATTTAACATAAACATCAAAACAAATCATGAAAGATATAAGAAAATCAAATAACATTTTGCATCTAAATAATTAGTTCAAAAGCATTGGCTTTTAAAGCCATTTTCTGTATCTTTAATGTATAAGAAACATATATTTTAAACTTTGTTTTTTTAAAGGAAAATATTGAAATAAATTTTATTTTAAATTTACTTACTTAACCTAATTGATACAATATTTATCACCTGATAAAGGTTCTTTTTATTCAAGTTAAAATCCGTGTAAGGTTAAAGGAAACAAAACGCAAATAATGCTAAAAATGGGAAACATTTCGAAGGGTTTTCTTATTTTCAATACTTGTACTTCAAAAAAATACACAGAGTGAGATATTTTTGTTAATATTTATCCTGTTTCCAAAGTTTAAAAAATTTTTGCAATATGCATATATTGCGAAATTATTGCAATAAGCATATTTTTTTTACCTAAAATATAAATGCAGTGTTTATTTATATTTTATCATTAACATAGTCTTGGTATACTATAAAGTCAAACAATATTCATTACTTTAATTGAAAAAAAATTATGCATATTTTCAGATTTAAAGGAGAATTAATAATCAACGTTTTCGAATTTCGTTTCTCAATTATTTTCTAATAAATCTTGAAATAAATTTAGAAGAAAATATTTTAAAGGCAATGTATTTCAAAATTATTCACAAAAAATAATCATTATAACATAGCGAAAAATGCTCTAAAGTAAAGTAATTTTAAAAATTGGGAAAATACTATTATCATAAATTTATCATTAATTATCATAAAAATGTAGTTTATCATGGTTTGAATTTATAATTCAAGCTAAATATACCCTTCAGGAAGCTTCGCGAAATTCATATTATTATTATTATTGCATAATGATTTTTTCTGCCGTTTCCATCTTCCAACGACCGTCAGGAAATGATAAAAAAAATTTTGTCTGGGAAAAACACATACCATTATATGTTGCCATAAAGTTGTTCACATTAATACATTAAAGTTGCTGCTTTAAAGGCTCATTCTCACAATAAAACTTTTAACGTTATTTTTATCAGTTTCCGTTCTGCAATCGTTTATTATCTTTATCATTATTATTAATAGAGAAAATGTGTTTCCAAGTAGAAAAAAATAGCCAGTTTTCATCGGGTTTAATAGATAGTACCATTAAACCAATAGTGTTATTCAAAAAAGGGGAAAAAAGTTTCATTTAAAGAGTTTTGAATAGTTAAAAATATGAATTCCGGTATAGAAGGAATTTTAAATCAGTGAATAGAAATTTTTTTTACTTGGGATAGCGTTCGGAAATTCAAAACGTATTGAAGATGAATCTTAAAATTTATTTTCCAGCTTAAAAAGTAACGTGATTTGAGGATAAAATAAAATAATACTATTTCTTCTTGATAGTTTTAAATTTCTATTAGTTTTTCCAACTATCTATAGTTCTTATGAAAAGGGAAAAATAGTTTTTATTTATTCATTTTTATAAGAAAAAAACTGTTTTTATAATTCCAATTTCGTAAAAGCAAAAGTAATTTTAATTTAAATAAATTAAGAGAGAAGTTGAATTCTAATAAATCAGCACGAATTATTTTATATTAGTGGGCTGCTCCCCCTGCTCGCTAACGCTCGCCAACCGTGGAAAATTGCTGCGCAATCTTATATGGTTTGCTTCGCAAACCAAGTTCGCTTCGCTTGCTACTAACTTANCAGACCAGGTTCACCCATTCATGGCAACAGTTTTTCCTGTGGGGGATGGTGTTTACCAACAGGATAATGCACCATGTCATAAGGGTCGAACCCATGGATTGGTTCGAGGAACATTCCAGTGACTTTCAAGTCATGTCTTGGCCCCCAAATTCACCTGACCTTAATCCAATAAAGCATTTGTGGTCCTACTTGGAAAACCAAATTTGGGCTGCCACTCTACCCCCTCGCAATGTGAGGGAATGGCAGGACCAGTTGGTGAGCGCTTGGTACCAGATACCTCAGACTACATATCAGCACCTTTTGGAATCAATGCCACGGCGGTTGCTAGCAGTTTTGAGGGCTAAAGGTGGTCCTATATGTTATTAGCAGGATGGTCATAATGTAATGGCTCTTCTGTGTATAATTGAATCAGCGGTTTATTTAACTGACTAATTTCTAGTTTTGTTTTTTGCATAGAACAAAAATTAAGATACTTAAAAGAAGCACCGCAAAATATATGAACATACAATAAGCGAATCTCATATTCTATTACTAAAATTATATAGAAGCTCAATTCCGTTGGTACTTACCCACACCTTTGTTTTGAAGCATTTCCATTAATTTCTTTATACTTTCTTCTCTAGCTGCTAAGGTTTGCTTTTGAGTTTCAATTCTCATTTCTAGTTCCTTGAAACACAAAAAAGACGTCTTTTTAATAAAAATGTAATTAACCATCCCCTTGATTAAAACTGCCATTATCTTATGCTCGTATGCAATACAATAAATATTAATACCTAATATGTTGTACTAATGACAATCAATATTCTCAAAATTACCTTAATTGTTTCCCTGAGAAGGTATATTTCTTTTGTCATGTGCTCTTTTTCTGCATAGAGAGCCTCTAAATGTTGGATGTCTGCCTCGGGATTCCTCATATGAGACATTCTTAGTTCTTCTTCGAGCTGCTGGATTAAAGTCGCTTGCTTCTGGCAAAGATATTAACTTTCCTTAGATACTCAATACAATTATCAATATTAAACTAAATACTATAGAGCTCTGTAATTTTTACCGAAGTGCTTTGGTAATAATTTCGGTAGAATTAACAATAAAATATGGCTTTATAATATGTAATAAAATTTGGTTAATGTGGAAAATTTTGATAATTTTATTAATCTTCTTAAAGTATAACACAAAAACCATTTATTCGGTTAAATTTACGTTTCAGATTTGTTTTGTTTTTAGTATATATGTGTGGAAATAAGATCTATAATCTTAAAATTGAAAATTTCGATAAACCGTTACCAAATAGAAGGAAGGACTACCAAATGAATGGTTTAAATACCGTGTATTTTGGTTTTAATTGTCAGAATTATGGTTCTTTTTGTCATTGCCATACAGTACGGAAGTTTTGCAAGAATTTTTTTCCCTGTTAAGAAAGATAGATTTTAGAACTTAAACAATAAAACAAAATACGTTTTATGGTTGGTGCGTTATCTATGCAAATTTCGTCTACTACCTGCCAGTTAGAGTATTTTTATTTTGAGTGGAGATGTTCGTTTAAAATTGAAATTTTTTAATTAGTTTAAAATAGAAGTGGTTACAACACATTAAAATAATTATATTAGCAATCAAAAATAAATATTTCATGATATTATGACTTAAATTTTAGCGTCAAGGGACACTTTAGAAATTGGAGTTACAAATTTGCACCTTGAAATCTACATTTTAGTATGTAAATAACTGTTAAGTGTGTCATTATTTATTGGTCCAGTATGCTTCATATTTATTTGTGTTGTAATTTTGTTTAAATATGACAATCAAAAAGGAATTCTTTTTGTTTTGATTTGAAAACGCGTCTCATGCTTTAACGCTAAAAAGGAAACTTTAGAAAATATTTTCACAAGCGTACACCATGTAGTCTATATTGTTCGTACATTAATTGCTCTGAAATGTATCATTCCTTAAATTGATGCCATATACTTTGCCTTCGAGTTGTAACTTTGTCTGAAGATATCAATATGAAATACAGATTTTTCTGGAAGCATTTTCTAAGTTTTAATGATTCTAGGTAAATTTAAGAAATTAATTTCACAAATTTTCAGCACAAGGCACATATTTTTAGAACATTAATAAATTTTACGCGAGTAATTTTTTAAGTTGGTTTTATACTGTAACAATGTAATAATTTATTACGCGTCACTCACCTGATTCTCCGAACGGAGCATTTTGAGTTGGTCATTCACGAGAGCGTGTTTGGCTGCCTCCTCTTTTCTCAAAGCTCTCTCTTTCTTTAATTCTGGACTCCAGAAAGTTTTGATACTGTGCATACTAGAGCCTAACTTGGAGGCAGTCACATCCAGTTCCCGTTTTACATTACCATACTGACTCTGTAAATCTGTTAAACGCGACTGCAGCTCACCGGGAAAGTTCTCCAATCTTGCACCACCATAATTTAACCTGGTAAGATTTAATATAGTAAATCATTTCTGCGATTATTGTTTTATTTTTATCTCAAGTTATTAGAAAATTCAAATACATGAAAAAAGGATACAGTGCCTTGCTCTATTACCAATTCAGTGCTATTAAAAAACTAAAAGATAATTTTCACTTACGTAATACAGTTAATTGATATTTCTCAATTGGGATTACTTTTTTTTCCATCAGCTGAGACACAGAATGACAGAAAAATCAAAATTTGGAAAACAAAAGAAAATTATGTTTTTTCTGCACTTAAAATTATGCTTTTTATAGTTCTGAAAATTTCATCTTTGTTAACTGTGTACTTACACGCTGCGATTTTATGTGCTGTGCTCTCTTTTTAATCACTGCATGGCATCGTTCGTTCTTCGGATCATAAGTTGATTATTTTTTTATGTAAAATTGCAAACGTCATTTTAAAGCACTTATAAACAACATTTACTAATATGACTTGCTCGAATCTGTAAGAACTTAATATTGGAACTAGTTGATTTTAAACTGCTACAATTCTTTTTCTTTATTTTTATTCTTGTTCTTTTACATCGAAAAATATTTTATTTCTTGTGTGTGTTAATTTTAATTTTGTGACATGGATTATATTATTTTTTGTTAACATTAAATAAAACTACTTTGAGTTTAAGTAAAGACATCTTTTTTAGACGAAAAAACATGCTGATTATCATTTACTTGTCCACTACATCACACATTCTCATTTGCTAATTTACAGATGGTAAAATATTTTCAAAACGCGGCGTCCTGTTGAATATTTTCAAAATCTCGATTGATTTAGAAAAAAGTCGTCGAGTATTATGCAATATATTGAGTAAAAGCATAAAATTAAACATTTTTAAATTTCAGTGAAGTGTTTTCAAAAACTTAAATTTCTCTAATTTCTTGAGACGTTATCCCATTAGAAAACCTAAGAAGTTTCAAAAAGTTAGTTAAAATATAATTAAAATTCTTTATGACCTTAAAACTTACAGCAGGCTACTTCGTAATTTCTGAAAAATAATATATGCTTAAATTACAATTTTGTTTATTTAAATAGGATAGGATCTGATTGGCTACAAAATGTCAGGTCATCTATATGTGGAAATAAACTAAATATATAACATGCAAAATAACTCCGTGAAATATTTAATCCCAAAGAAAAAAATACTAGGTCTAACAGTTTGATAGTTTTACGCATTGACTTTATTTGAAATGTCGACCAATCTCGCTAACTTCATGACCACCTCATTTCCATGCTCATACAATTTTTTTTTAATTTTAAAACTAGTACACCTCTGACTTATTTCTGCTGAGAAAATGGAAGGCATTACAAATCAAACAAGATAAAAAATAATACATTAATTAGATTTTAAGGCACTTAATCTTGAAATGAACAAAGATGAAACTAGCCCATAATTCAAATACGGCTTTGATATATATTATGTAACGGATAAAAGGGACTAATTGATACTTGCCTTTAATATTAGTATCTAAGAAAATGATCGCATACCTATTATCCCCTATAGGATTGGTCCCTCTGGTGAAATTTGAAATACTAGTTCTATAGGATTCAGGTAACCCATCTAATATGGTCTCTCTCGTTACTCCTACTCCCCTATAGGGATCTGGCATTGGAACTTCGTCTGGTCTTCTCAGACTATAATAAGCATTTTCTAAAGATCTATCTCTGGACCTTGCTGCATGCCTCGAAGCTGCAATGTCAACTCGTTCCAGAGATCTGAAATTCGAAAGATACCTCCATTAGATCCTATAATTTTGTAAAATAGTATGTACCATATAGAAATTGTTTATAATGTAGTGCAAAATGAGAAAGCAAAGCAAATTTTAACAGATAGCTGGGCAGCATATACCACGGAAATCTAAAACACTTAATGTCATCGAAATATGTAAAAAAAATAGTCATACTCTAAAACTTAGGGGCAGTAATAAATGAAATTAAGGTCATTAAGTTAAAGAAGAAGAAGATAATTGAATATGAGATAGGTACCTAATAGGCACCGAGAAAAAAAGTACGGTCAAATTAAGGTTAAATTTACAATGTTTCTGGTTCTATGGAAACACCAAAAACTCGGTAATATTTACCGAGGAGCTTCGGCTATGATTTTGATAAAATTATGAATAAAATATGGTTTTTATTATAAGTGATAAAATTTGATAAATGTGCCAAAATGAGATAATGTTATCATGATATCTTCGAGCATGGCACCAAAACTATGTCTTTAATGAAATTGACTTTTCAGTTTCGTGTTTTTATTAAGTGTGGCGATAATACGAACTATAATTTTGAAAACTAGAATTTTTAGTAAGCCATTACCATATGAACGGAAAAATCACCCAATGAATGCTTTAAATAGCGTATATTTTGGTTATATTAGCCAGAATTATCGTACTTTTTCGCAGAAATGGAATTACCATACACCGCAGCAGTTTGATCTGAATTTTTCTCACTGTATGAGATGACCTGGTGGGTTATGTTGCTTAAATAGTTTCAGCATATGAATAGTCAGCTATGTATTTTGGCAAAGCATCTTTAAAAGTTATCTGTTTTTTTATATAATGTAAGTTAATTCTGTAAATTTTTGTACGGAAAAAAAATCAAATATTCTTTCTTTATATTTCGTAAATTTTTTTCAGATATAATTAAATAAATAAAAATGTTTTTACAGTAATTGAATTTAAAAGTTTACATGAATATTTCAAATCAAGTTTTTATTATTTCCGTTAATTTTTTATTTAAAATAAATATAAAGAAGTATAAAAAAACATGTTTAGTAACTGTACGTAAAAAGAAAAAAAGGAGCTAAAATAAATACAAAAGCAAATTTTTGAAGAAGACTTAACTAAATTAATTTTTTAAACCAAATCCCTCATTATTAGTTAATATCGGTTAATAAGCATATCTTATGTTTACTTTTCCAATGATTAAAATTATAACTAAACTGTCTAAAAATCTGATAAATTATGTACTAAAATATGTATCCCGAGAATCATTTTTTTTTCGTGACAAAAAATGATGATTTATCACGCTCTTGAATTTTAGTACGATAGGGGACATTGGAAACTTCATGCGTTCGTCATTATGCCCGGACACGTTTCTTAATTCTTATAAACTTTTTCTTCAAAATGAGTGCATCAAAGGTTTTTCTAATTTGCACAGAAAGGAGATGTACTTATTTTATAAAAGAATAAAGCTCATACTTAAAATTTATGTTGGTAGATATTTTCCTTTTGGTTTAGAATAATAGAATTTAGCGAAATATCTTTTTTTTTTCTAAATTTTTTGCAAAAACTGAATGGTGTTTTTACTCACCAACTTCTGTGGTTGGTTCTTATTCATTATTGTTTTTTTTTCTCTAAAATTTGATAAAAAAATTTTTTTTTTAAATTCATAATTTTTACTTTACTTTATCACATTTTGATAATAGTGAACGACATGAAAGAATACATTGTTTCTAAAAATTATCAATTGAAAAAATGTATTTTAACTTAGGAATACTGAATGTGCAACACAAAAAGTAAGAAATGAAAAATCAATTTTCTTGTCAACAATCTAAAATGATAAACTTGCATAATAATAGCAGTATAAATTTTAAAAAAAGTTTTTATTTCTGGAGCCTTTTTAGATTTATATTCAACAACATATTATCTTTCACTCTTATATTTTTTAATGTATTTATTTATTACTTTTGACCCAAAATTAAGAGCGAGCTTATAAATTGAAGGTCACGAGAGAAAAAAATCCTTCTATGACAGTTGTAAAAAGCACTTAAAAGCGCGTTAAAAGAACTTAAAATTGCAGTTATTTTTGAACAAATTGGAATTTTGAAGAAAAAGAAATCACTTAGTTCATAATTACAAATGGCCCTATCAGCATGTCAAATTTCAACTCTGTAGTTTCCTTTCAGTGAGCAGTAGATCTGCGCCTGCATAGTTTTTTAACTACAAGTTCAGCATTTGATAATTCTCGGACTAATCATCGAATCTTAATTTTTATTTTTATTTTATCGTACATTTTATCGTATTTTTATTTTATCTGTACATTTTTCTACCATCGCAATTTCAAGACTCTAAGTCTTTACGCTGCAAAATAAAATGTAACATTAAAAAGAACACTGAAAACAATGGTGGCACTCGCAACTTCTTAATATAGAGAGACGATAAATATTAGTTTCATATTCGTTAATTTTTACTTTAAATGTGAAACGCATTCTCAATTTTTATTTGCAAAGAGAATATTGTAACTGCATCCTTTATTTTAGATATTCAAACAAACAATTAAAGCAGGAGAAAGTAATAAAAAGAAATAAAATAAAAGATATGTGCATCTTTTATTTATTATCTTGCCATAATAGTATCTAGCTTGTTGCTTATAGAGCTGAGAGAAATGAACAAAATAAAACACAGATCGCAGAAGAAACAATTCTGTTAAAAATACCGCACTGTATGGTAATGACATTCATGGTAAAAAAAAAGCATAACTCTGGTAACAAGAACTGAAATATATTATAGTTATACCATTCATTTGGTAATTTTTTAGTTCATACGGTTACTGTTTTACCAGAAATTCTGCTATTCAAAAGTACAGTTCTTATTATCCCACATTTAGTAGAAATACAAAACTGAAAAGTAAATTTAATCGAATTAAAAGAAAAGTAAAAAGTTTGCAAATTAAAAAAAATGGAAACTGAAAAGTAAATAGTTTTTATACCAAACTCTCTGGTATTGCCATAAAATGTTCCAATTTTAACTTATATTATAAACCAATGTTTTATTGTTACTTTTACCAAAATCATTATCGAAGCGCTGCTGTAAAAGTTACTGAGCTTTTTGGTATAATATGGTGTACATGACCATGGAGCATGGTATATTTCAACATATTCTGGTAGTTTTTACCATACTTTTTTTTCTCAGTGATAAAACAATTTAAGAAGTATTATAAGTATTATAAAGTATAACATAAGTTATGAATAATTCTTCTAATTATTAGGATAAACAAGAAAGCCATATGAATTAAAAAAGATTTTTTTCGGGATTTTATATCAGAATTGAAAGAGTTTTCTAAGCAGTACTTTTCTAAAAATATTTTCAGTTTTCTCAGACTCCACAGCTATTCTCAAATATTTCTATTTTTGACGAAAAAAGAGTAGACATGTCAGTAAAGAGAAATGTAATTGTTTTGTTTTTTTCAATTAATGGAAAGAGGTAAGCGTACGCTAACACGTTGCAGAGCTCTTAAAAATGCTTTTGAATGTTCCATGATTCCCCATATCACAGGCAATTTGAAAAACTATTTAAATCATATTACAAGGAAGCAATCGCATAACAAATTTGTCAACTTAGACTAAATATCTACACACCTATGAATTATCAGGAACTATCATTGAATTTGTATTTTTATAATTTACTGTGTTATTATGTTCTGTTATTCTAACTACACTGCAAAAAGTTTAATAATTGCGTTCTTGCTTACCACATATTTTATTACTGAGACAAACAAGTAAAGTTTTATTGAATTGAAGATTTTTGAGAAATAAATTATTAACCAAAATGGATTTTTAAAAGTATAAAACCTTTTTTTTCAACTCTTTAATCCCATAGTGAGAAAGCAGTCTAATACATGCTGTGGGAAAATAAAATATTTCTATGCATGTACTGCCGATTAAAATTGCAGGATAATCAGTAAGAGAAATTAAAAACTAATTATCCAAATTTAATTGATTTTTTCGTGATAGATGTCTTGTACGTTTTATTAGAACTGATAGCGATTGAACTGAAATTTGAAAAATTTATATTAAGAATTTCACTCTCTATATCGAGAAGTCTATTAATTAAAAATTAAAAATTATTAATCTGTAAACTTTTCCACAAAACAACATTAGACAAGTTTTGAAACAAACCTCTGCATAGTAAAAAATTCCGGATGAAAGTACGATTTAAAGACGATTTAACCACTTTGGGTGTCCATAAAATCAACTTTACCGTAAAGTATCATAACATAATTTTTACAGTAATATTTATTTAAAGAGGGTGATTTAGTGATTTTGTGGTTATTCGTACAGTAATTTGATCCGGAAATTTTTTAGTGTGGTTGGATTACTAGAGATTTGATATAACCAGATAATATAAATATATGACAGATAATATATTATATCGATGACCAGATAATGTAAGCATATAACTTATACAAACTATACGTTATTTTTAAGTACAGTTTAGGTGTCTATAATATATATAAACTGTTAAATTACTTAAAAAATACGCATGGTGTATAAAGAAAACTAAAAATACATGCAGATATTTTCAAAAGGTTTATTCAATTATATCAAACTCGACTCTATTCTGACTCCTTGGGGATAGAGCAGAGGTCAACTGCAAATGCTAAATAGGAGAACCTGTTTTTTTTAATTGTAAATTTGGATTTTAAAGAAGAAAAAAAACTCACCGATTCAACTGAAGTTGTAGCATTTTTATTTTTAAAAAAATCCTTTTTCCTCATAAATTCGACTAATATAAATCCCTTTTCATAAAAGGAATATAAATTTAAATTCTGTCAAAGAAAAATGTAATTAGATTAGTGCATAACGATTGTTAATGCTAAAGGAAGTTCTTTTTAGATATTTCAGTAAAAAGAAACTTATGCAGATATGCATGATTCTTAACCTCAAGTACTGATTAAAGTTTTTAATTAGAAATTCCTTTTGGATATTGAATAATAAA